TGTCTGCATTGATAGGAGGTCCTTCCTTCCATGCCTCTCTGTCCGTTATACTTATTTTAAAAGTTTTTTCAAAGCTATATTTTGGAATTATGCCATCCGTTGGCATTCCCATGATGGGGTCGCTTTCCAACTCTTCATATAGCTTTCTATAGTCTTTACCGTGCGCGTTGCTTATGGGTGCTTGACCCCTTGACAATCTACTCACGACTGCTCTGGCTTCGCCTTGAATATATATTTGTAGTGGTGGTAGGTTCAAGAGGACCTCTAAAGCGGCTGTTGGAGTGGTTTTCATTGCACCAGTGGCACTCAGGCAAGCTTGCCTTTGAATAGCACTGAGCCTTCGAATCACTCCAGCCTGTTGTGTCTTTGGCCACCAAACTACTGACCCATATGCTATCATAGGCCTGATGACGCTGGCATAGAGCCATGTGGTCATTTTTGGTTGCAGTCCCCAATTTTTCCCGCACATTCGTCTGCACAGATTGAAGGCTACTGTACTTTTTTGAACAATTTTTTGTAGGTGTTGATTCCATGTTAACTTATGGTCAAAGATGACTCCTAAGTATTTTGCCTCTAGGGCGAACGGAATTTCTACCCCGTTGAGTACTGGTGACTTTAATCCTTCCAGTACTCTCTTTTTCGTGAAATTCACTATAGTGGTTTTATGAGGGTTCACGGTGAGTTCCTCCTCTTTACACCAATTGTCAATTATGTTTAGAGCGATTTGTGTGAGCTCCGAGACCGTACTTGCGAATCTACCTCTAGCGATAACCGCCAGGTCGTCGGCATATCCTAAGCAATAATACCCTTTGGATGTTAGCCTTTTGATCAGTTCGTCCATTAGAATGGCCCATAGTAGGGGTGATAATACTCCTCCCTGTGGGCATCCCCTATCTGCTCTAGCTGTCAGAGTTGTCTCGCCAATTGTGGATATGATAACCCTATTTTTCAAATTGACATTTATCCACTGGCACAGGAGTAGCGGTACTCCTTTCCTTGCTAGGGCATTAATTATAGAATTTGTTGATGCGTTATTGAAAGCACCTTCTATGTCTACGAATGTTGTTATAGCTATTTCTTTGTCCTCTATCGACTTTGCGAGTAGCCTGTTCAGATCATCCAGTGCTAAGTCAGTTGACTTGCCTGGCTGATACGCATATTGGCGTTCGTTGAGCGGGTTTCTTTGTAATACCTCGTCTCTTATGTATCTGTCTATCAGTCTTTCCAGCGTTTTGAGCAGGAACGACATTAGACTTATTGGGCGGTATGATTTTGGCGTTTTGTCACCCACCTTTCCCACTTTGGGAAGGTAGATGACTGTCACCTTCTGCCATACTATGGGTATATATCGTATTGCTATACAAGCCTTGAATATATGACACAAGTGTGGAATTAGTATTTCCTGCCCCTTTTGAAGCAGGATGGGGTATATTCCATCTACTCCAGGGGATTTATAAGGTTTAAATTTATTAATAGCCCACCTAATTCTGTTTGGCCTCGATATCTCTGTAGCTAGCCTCCATTCTATGGCAGTTGACCTATTCGGCCTGCCAATGGTGCTGTCTGCCACTATCGGCTCATTTAGAATTACTGAGGCCGGAAAGTGTGCTTCAGTGAGCATTTTCAGACTCTCCTCAAAAGTTGCTGTGTAGGTATTGTCATTCTTCTTCAGAAAACCTACTTGGTTTACAGTACCTTCTTTGGCTAGCACTTTGTGGATCCTTGAACATGTGGGGGTTTCTGTGACCTCCTCACAGAACTTTTTCCACGATTGCCTTTTCGATTTCCTAATCTCTTTGTTGTACTGCGTGAGTTTAACCTTATATGTGGTCCAATTCTGGTCGAGTTTTGCTTTGTTGAATAGCCTTCGCACCTCCCCTCGTAGGGTTTCGAGATGCTTGTTCCACCAGATTGTTTTATTGCTTTGTTGTCTTGTTTTTTCCGGGCAGTTACCTTCGTAGGCGGCAACTATTGCCTTGCTTACTTGGTCTACTGACCTTTCAAGACTGTGGCTGTCCCTTATGTCAGCCGTGGTCCTTTGTAGAGATTCTCTGAGTGATGTTGCGTATCCTTCCCAGTTGGTCTCTCTGGGGTTTCTGTACTTTGTTAAGGTACGAGGTGGGGTAATTATATCAAATCTTATTTGTCTATGGTCAGAACACGAAGGTTCATCTGACACATGCCAGTTGACGATATTATCACATGCTTTTTCTGACGAGAGAGTTATATCTAGAACTTCTTTCCTCGCTGCCGTGACAAATGTTGGTTCGCATCCTACATTAGCTATTAATAACCTTTCTGTTAGTATGAATTGCAAAAGTGACTCACCTCTTATGTTGACGTCTGTGCTTCCCCATACAGTATGGTGTGCATTTGCGTCGCATCCTATGATGAGTTGGAGGTTTGCCCTTGCCGCATATGCGATTACTTCGCCTAGTATCGGTGGTGGGCAAACCTCCTCGCCTGGGAAATACGCGGAGCTCACTATCCAGCTTCTGGTACCTTCCTCTGTCGGCGTGGTTAGGAGTCCTGTAACAACATCACCGGTGCAGAGCACCGGTATTAGTGTGCATTTTACTCTATCGCTATATACTATGCATGCGCGAGGTTTATTGTTACCTTCTACGTATAGTACTTTACCTTGGTTGGGTTTCAAGCCAGCTACCCTCCCTCCATGTAACCAGGGTTCTTGCAAGAGGGCCAGGTCGAGACCCTCTTTGTCAAATCTCCTACATACCATAGCGCTGGACGCATTGGCATGATGGAGATTCAACTGCAGAACCCTGATCCTTCGGTTCAGTTCTGTGAACTGAACCCTTCTTCCGCCTTCTTCGAGGCATCTCCCTCCTCCATGGGTGTTGCGCTCTCATGTGCTTTTTGCCTCTTGAGAGGGCTACTCCCACTTTGGGAGGACTCTGTCTCGTCCTCTTCTTGTGCCTCTTGGGCCTCCGGAATCGGCTCGGCGTGTTCTTCTTGTTCCTTGACACGTTTCCCCTTCTGTCTGAACTTAATTCTCCCTAGATTGAAGTAGGGAGACATGTCAAGTTTCACTAGTTCTTCCAGTGACTGTTTGTCCATGGAGAAGACCCAAGTTTGTCCTTTGGCCGCAGGAGTTTTGCCCCAAACCGTCCAAAGGTGCGTGTTTAGCCCATGATTTGCGACTTTAAGCCGGTGCAGAATTTTTTCCGCCTCCGGCTTTTGCCCTCTTTCATCAGGGATGAAGGTAGTGCAGGCGTAGGTTTCAGGTAAGTCATCGCCCTCCAACACTGTTAGGGTAGCTCCCTCCCAGGGTTTTATGGTTGGGATGACCTCCTTCAACCAGTCTGCACTAGTGCGATCCACGCACATCATAACCAAGTATCCCGGTTTATGAGTGCATTTTGCAAATCGCACTTGGGGTCCCTCTATGGGGATTTGATCTAGAGCCTCGGAGATTGAGTCCTGGACTTCTGTGAGCCTTTCAGTACTCATTTTCACCTCCGGGAAGCCCGTGTGTACCACAGCAACCTTTACTGAGGTAAGGGCATCTTTGAAGGATACTCCTTCGTGCCTTGGTTTCTTCCTCAGCTGGCTGGTCTGTGGCGGTGTCGCACTGGTTGACCGTGGTCGTTTCGTCGCTTTCGTGCCTTCACCGGCCTCCCTCGACGTTGTTGCTACAGGTCCCAACCTCAAGGGCTTTGCGGGTTCCTTGCTTTTTAAAAAGTTCTCCTTGATTACCAGCCTCTTGGCTGAAATGTAATCAAGGCCCTTTTCTAGGTGGGCTTTAAGCCTCAACCTCGAAGCTCCTCCGAGGTGTGCTATTTTCACCTCATCGTCTGATAGTAGCTCTAGTTCCTCTAGGGAAGATACTACTACCTTGTTTTTGGCTTTTGGTGCTTGCCCTTTTGTGGCCTTAGCACCAGGCGTGCCCGCCTTCTGTCTTGGGTTGGGTGTGGTCACCTCCGCCCTTTTGACAGGTTTTTTGTTTTTATTTTTTGAATCCATTCAGATCCCACGAGTAGCTAGGGAAGTTTTGGTCCGCTACGACAGAGCCCCGCATGCCGTAGTAAGGTCTTTGTACTCTGGGATTCGACCCTGTGTCCCAGAGGCTCCGTTCTTGATAGCACTCCCTGCTACCATCCAGTCCTCGGCACGGAAATCTCACACCTTGACTTGGGGGAATTTTTCGACCTACCTCGTCTAGATCCGCTGTGTTTAGTTTATGCAGGGTCACCTCGGGCAGGATGCGATTCTACATCGCGCACAGACGGTCTTGGTCATAGCTTCCTCGAGAGGTTTGCCCGACCTCCTCTGCTATTCCCCTGGGGTCGGTGGCCATGTAGCCGACCCCTTTTCCCGAGGCATATAACCTCCAGAATCTTGAGAAGAACACCAATTCCTACCTTATTTTCCTTGGCTGTCACGATGTTCTCTGAACATTACAGGATATCCGTTTTCGTGGGAACCAGAACATAAAAAAATCATATACATATGGTATACAGTGTGGAAACTTCAACTGGAATAAATTCGCTAGCGGGGCGGTGAATACTTTTTCCAAAAATTCATACACATACGTGAACGATTTAATGAATTTACCTACTTTTGCAAGCAATACTGAGGATAGTTATATAAGGAAAAACGTAGGAGCTTAGAGTTCCCTCCTCTCATATTTTTTGTTGTGGGAGTTGTCAGGATTTCTGATCGATAAAATGTAAAATTTCATTGCCCTTCGATTGGCGAAAACGGCAAATCTTTATCTCTTACAGTTTCTGAGAAAAACATATTTATATGAAACAGCGCGCACCATCCCTTCGAGAAGAGGGGGGGGGTGTATCCGCGGGTTTCCGAGGTGGGTCTGGTCCTGAATCTCTTTATTTCTTCTTACTTTATGCCACTTCAAACGGATTTGCTTGTACTCAGAGGAGGAAGTATCTGTCCATTTTTCATCTCGCAGGCACTATGCTATTGTTAGGCCTTGTTTTTTGCTTGCATTCTGAAAGCATATCTCATTGAATTTCTAGGTATGGTAGAGAAGAAATGTTGGCTCTCTTCGATCGGAATTCTAAACCTCCTATTAATCTATCCAATTTTAAAGGTCTCTATTCTGAGACCAGTCTACTTCCACTTGCTTTGTTGCCAACATCTGAAGAAGAGGTAAGTTGAAAAACTATCATTGATAATGAAAAGAAATGTCTGTATATATACTATGTCGATTACTTGACCTTTAATACACAAGTACATGTACTACTGCTATCATCAGTTTTGTAAGTCAAATTGAACTCGAAAATTTTCCTACGACGAATTACGGAAACTACATAATAGCACATTTTTATTTGAAAAGTAGCCCATTTCATTTAAATAAAAATCAGATGCACACCCTTACACAAAAATACGAATATGCATGCTTATATTGCTTATGGCCAGTTTCTAGTCTGGAGAATAAAGAAACAAATGAAATTCGTTCTGCGAAAATATTCTGTAAGCACATATTCACAGGTGAGGTGATTCAATGGGAAGTTTCGAGAGCTTGCCTGAATTATAAAGAAAGTTCGAATACATTTTTCTCTGAATATTTAACAAAATAGTTCCGAACCTGTCAAATTTTGATATATCGCACCGTTCTCGAGAAAAATTGAAATTGTCTGCATCGGCTATTTTGGTTTTTCTATCTGTTTATTTTTATCATTTATTTTCTATCAATCTGCTTAAAATGTACAACAAAACAATTTATTTATCTTCTAGATTTACTTGAGAGTGTATATCCTAGATAATCTAGCTTTAATTCTACGTATTTATATCCTAAATACGTTCGCAATTCAAACCATTAGTTCTTGTTTTCTTATATATTACATGGTAAAGTTGGCTACAGAAGTAGCAAATTTTGCCAATCCCTACCAGATTGAAAACTGGTTGATTGTTACTTATTGAAAATTATAGCAAAAACAGCTTCTTGAACCATTATTTTCCAAACTAAACAAACATGATTATTGCAGTCATCCAGTGCATAACAACGTTGACATTGATAAATAATTTGCAAAATGTTCAGAATCGAATGGCCTGCAATTAGAAAAACATTTTTAGATCTTATTGAAAAGTATGAAGAACCTATAGTCGAATTGCAATATCAACCATGATTGCCTTAAAAAGAACATATTCGATCTGTAGGCTTTATAGGATTCCACCATGAGTATTCATTGTTGAATAGAGGAACTGCCCACATTTCAACTGTTGAGTAGCATGAATGGCGACAATCGGCAATATTCGTCTGGCTCTCGTTGACAACACCCTCCATATAATGATAAGCAAAATTCCAACATTCAAATTTTTATTCCTCTGGATAGTATATGAACATTGAAAGAACACATTTTTCATTTTTTTCATTGGAATTCAGATAAAATTCGTGAAGATATAATTTTGGCTCCTCCGCCATTTTCATGACTTACTACTTGGCAAAGCCATGTACAGATCAGTTCTAGTGAAATATTTCAGTTAGTTCAGAATGAAAGAACATCAATGGTATGGGGGTATTGGATTATTTCTTAAAATCATATACCAAATTCCTGATAAAATGAGAATTATAGACGAAACATTAATATCGGAATAGCATAATTGACGAATTTGAAATTATGGGCATGTATGTACAAAATAACAATGATGCTAACAGCTCGTTTTTGAAGTTGAGCATTCTGAATTGAATTTCTGACAACAATGGTTGTAAACCAGATTTAAACCATACTCAAATGCATACTTTAATGACATCAGGTCGTAGCAAAATTATTTCTGAGGTTATGTGTGTACTTTGTCATATTTGTTGACTACAATTTCAATAGCCAAAACATAATACTAGGTAAAAACTTCACAAACGATAAGATTTCCACAAAATTCTCAAACACACGACATGTTTCGCTAACACATTAGCTTCGTCAGGTGATATACTGGTTGGATGAACTAAACTGACATTGGCTTGCGTGACTTTTATATATCCTACTTTCCCAACCTGGAGGACAGTTACGATAAACCTCCATTTTCGGAAATTAGGCACAATATCTACACTAAAATACGGAATACCGGATTAACTTGAAAGAGTTGATAGCTAATACATATTATTACTCACTAAGAAAACCAATTCAACAGTGGTGAGGTCTAATTGATCATTAAGTAAAAATTTTTGAGTTTGTTGATTTCTAATGATTCAAAATGATTGAGTTTCAGCCCTTTATTTTTTACGTGTATACCGGTATACCGTATTTTACTGTAGATATTGTGCCTAATTTCCGAAAATGGAGGTTTATCGTACCTGTCCACAGGTAACTAATCCTTCAGGTTGGGAAAGTAGGATATATAAAAGTCAAGCAAGCCAACGTTAGTTTAGTTCATTGTACCAGTATATCACCTGACGAAGCTACTGTGTTAGCGAAACATGTCGTGTGTTTGAAAATTTTGTGTAAATCTTATCGTTTGTGAAGTTTTTACATTTGCAATGGATTTCCATCAAGTAACGGCCGAGTCAATTCAAAAATAATACTAGGTAGTTGAATAACAATTCAATGCTAACTCGGTCGAGACAAACTACCTCATCACTTCTCGACATGCGACCCTGTTCGCAGAGGGGCTGGCAAGGAAGACCTACCACCTTAACGGGCCCGCCCCGAGGAAGGGGCGGCTCGCTCGAGCGGGGTGGCCGGGCGCCTAGAGGCCGAGGGACGTACCAGTACGGTCGGCCCTCGGGCTACGACGGCGGCTGGGGCAACGGCGATCAGCCCGAGTGGAGTCCGCGGAAGGAGTACGGCAACCAGAGGACGATGTCGCTGGACAATTGGCGGCGGGCGAAAGCGAACGAGGAGGATGACGGGTGGAGGAATATGGAGAAGTATAAAGGGCAGCAATGGGGTGAGACCTGGAAATGCGATAGATTAGATCGGGTGAAAACAAAATCATTGGTCGGGGCGTCATTCAGTTGTTTTTATGTTTTTGACATTTGTATCTAAAATATAGTTCTTTGAAACCAATATTCTCCATGAAAAGACAATTGAATATCACTCCCGGTTTTGCCAGAAATTGATCTGGGTCGAGAATTTTGAATGGAACCATGTAGATATTTTTACGTTTTTCGATAAATTCCCTTTTCAATGACATATCTCAAATTGTAATGAAGTGTTTTTGACCAGCTTCATTACTAAACTGGTGTTGATTAATATCTAAGTACCAGAGACTGATTCTAGTTGAATTTCACTTGTTCAATAGCTCGAAACCTTAAAACCTGAGAGAGCTGAGTAATTCATTGATTCCTTACTTTCCAAAGCTTTTCCTGATAGTAAACTCTGATGAACATCATTACAACCCTAAAGACTTCAATATTTCTCAACCCTTTGCTTATGATCTGAAATTTGCATTTATTCTTTATCTGTTAAATGATGGAAGTTTACCTGGTCATAACTTTTTTGTTATTGGATATTTTCCAGTCAAATTCATTCAGTAGTATTAGCAAGGGTAGTTGTTCATGTGCCCATTAAGGGTTAAATATCATTTTTACCACATTTTTGTGTGTTTAGGAACATGTATTTTTGGATGCTAGTTCCTGCAGGCATAGTTGAGGGTTCCGACCAATAAGAATCTAGGATCGAGCTGTTCTTGTACCGAGGTCGATAGGGAATATAAATACTGAAGACAGCTAAGGGATCGCTCTCTAATCTCTACCGTCACTAGTCTATCATCTACGCTAGACACTACTCTTCACCTGTCTCTCCTGATCCTCTTGCTGATCTCTTAGTGCTCTCATAGTTCATTCAAAGCCAGTGTGAAGTATCAATGTATAGTGATTTCCTGTTGCAAATGTAAGTTTGTGTAGTATTTTTCACCATTATTATTCACTCTGTAGATAGATTCATTTCATTCCTGTTAACCCTGTTGTTTTTCATACCGATACTCACCCGATCTGTGTAACGAATCCAGAAATATGTATTTGCGAATACGGTTTTTTGGTAATTTTGCACTTATCATGCGATGGTTTTTTTTTCGAAAATTTTTTTTTGGTATTTTTGTCTGAAAAACACGAATTTGATAATGAAAATGTGATCAAACCACTATTTATCCAGATATTTCAAGAAAAAGGTCGAAATTTTGCCTTCTTTTCCCCCTTGTGTTGGATGCATTTACAGATCTTGCTCTTTTTATTTTGTCATTGGACACTTTATATACTCATGATGTACTTCAATGACACATTTCAAGATAGAACATTCAACAGGAAATATGATTTTTATGACGAGTATTTCATATTTATTGAGCAAGCATACCAGATGACGGCCATTTAATCCATAGGCAATCCAAATACGAGTTGTTGAATGTCAATGGATTGCTTTGGAATGACATTACACACGCCATTATTACGAATGATATTCTTCCTTCTTTTCACTAAACATGGATAAATCACAAGAAAATCATATTTCTAGTTGTCATATAATAAAAAAAAAGTGTCCAACATTGTGTAATATATATAAATTTTCCAATGATGGAAAAAGAAGGCAGAGTGTTCTAAATGCGATCCAAAAGACAGGCGGGAAAAAAGGTGAAATTTGTAACTTTATAGTGAAATATCTTAATAAATAATGGTTTTTTCACATTTTCATTATCAAATTCGTGTTTTTCAGACAAAAATACATAACTATCAAAAAAATTATGGAATAAAAAACCATCGCATGATAATTGCAATATTACCGGTTTTGTTTTGTGATTGAATATCTCATATTTATTTCTGTTGTCATTGTTTTCAGTTCCGAATAGTTCCAATAATTTATTTAATGATTTTCAATATTTTCATTTGTCATTTTGCTGATTATTATTGACGGACGGCTGACACTGACAAAGTCAGCTTTCATTCTTCTTATTCTTTTTCTGAAGAATTTCTGTCCTGTGCACCCGTGTCCCTGTACTTGGTATCCTGTCAGGCTGTGGCCGGTGTTGAATGAAATTTTGATATGGATAGAAAAATATAATTAACCTCACTAGAATTCCGATATTAAAGAATTAGAAAAGCGAAGGAAAAAGAAAGATAAATATCAATGGAATATGTTTAATTCGCTTGGAACTGTATTTCCGATTCTCCAGTTAGACTTTATGAAATAGTTTAAATAAATAATTTTCCAGACCTAACCTAAAAATACCAGAGACCCGAAAGATATTTGCTTTGATTCCTGTAATTATCCAGACTAAAAATAGCAACGAGTATTCCAGGCTAAACCCATGGTTTGTAGTTGAAGCCTACACTGCCTTGGCTCCCTATTGATTCCAGGTCGATTCAATAACATTGACCCCTGGTTTATACTGTAGGTACCGAGATAGGTATACCTCTTGTACTGTCTCTACTGTTGCTACTTTGGGCCTCTGAACAATAATAGCTTTGTGCAGAGCAGGTCATAAACAATCTGGCGCTCGAGACCTCCCATGTCAAATACTACAGTAGTCCCTGTCCGAACAAGCTCCAAAGTAAGGGCCACAGAAATAAAGGCTGTTACAAAATGGACATTTGTATTTGAATTGCGGTGCAAGAGGCCTTTTCTTTAAAATCAATATCGTCAACCAACTTTGTAAAGTAGCAAATAAACGAAGCACTTTGATTACTTTTCGATGAAACATGCAGAAATTTTGATTCATCACCAATCAGAATTGTTTCATTCAAATGACAAGGCGTCTTCAAAATGGGTGATATACCGGAAGCGTTGTGTTGTCCCAGTTTTCAGCATATCGAGAGCGACTGATGAGGCCTGGTGGACTGAAACAGTACTGTGTTGCTCCTGCTGACAATTGGGGTAACTCTATCATCCTGGATCTCTTAGTTATGAGATCTAGTTCAGTGAATAGGACGGTGGGTTCCACTCACTCTAGTATTCAGGTGGTGCCATCTATCAGCAGAGTGTTTTACTTGTAGTAGCAATCTGAAATGTGTAGACGTAAGGGTCTCCACATGTTGACTATAGATGGCAGCGACATGCTATGTATGACTCGGCCGCAAGGCCCTACCTCAGAACTAACGCCACTAGATGGCGATAGCATGAGTAGATCATCATGCAGTATCCGGCGACATTCTTCCTCTCCAATTTCTTTCAAAATTTTAAATAGGAAATATTACTTTTTCAAATTAACATTGAAGTTCAAGTCATTATCTACAGATAAATGCATTACATACCACGCCTCTTCTGTTAAGGGTTTAGGTTCTCAAAAAGTAAATTATATATGCAGTCATAGTTTTTCATTTAGGTGTAATGATAACGATTTAAGAAAGTACCATTTCTAATTTGAAATTTTGAAGGAAATTCAAGAAAATCACTGAAAGGATGAATATAAATTTATGCATGTTTCATCAAAAACTAATCAGAGTTCTTCGTTTATCTGCTATTTTATTCGGTTTCTTGACGAAAATTCGTTCGAAAACGCCACAGCGTCGCCATATTGATTTTAGAGAAAATGTCTCCTGCGCCGCCATTTTTGAGAAACAAATGCCTACTTGTGATATGTCATTAGAAAGGAAATTTTTCACTCTATCGTATGGCGTAAAAATATCTATAGGGCTTCATTCAAAATTCTCGACCTAGCTTTCAAGAACTATATCTTCTATACAAATCAACTGAATGACGCCATCTCCAATGATTTCATTGTCACCCAGTATTCATCATCATTTGCCTGAAAATGTTCAAGGTTAAACTTTCGAGGCTTTCGTCGCGCGAAAGTTTTCCATTGCATGACTATATTCACTATGGTTTGACATTCCCATGACCTATTCACCATGAGACCCTTGCTAAAATATATATTTTTTGTCATCACTAGCCCTAGAACCCACCCTTAATGGGTCTAAAAAGTGGTATATCACCTAGGTAGTTTTTTCATTCTATAAACCTCTATTTGATAAAGACATAGCCACATAGTATCAACTGGAATTAACATTCAATGCAGTATCCTGATATACGCATGCAAGAATTAAACTCCAACTGTAATGCGGGAGAAGGCAAAATAATAGTTCTTTATTAGGCGAAAGTTTAGTATAAAACTATACTTACACTTTAAGACAGTCATCAAGAGCAGTTATGCTTGCAGTCATGACGACTAGATATTCATAAAGCGGCATTCATAACCAAACTTTTTACGTTTTGCTTTCTACGTTTCATATCCTGATTGGTGAAGCAAGTTCTGGAATTGAAATATCGTGAATTTTAACAGCTTTTCGCGTTGCAAGATGCCATCTGTGAAAATTGTTAAAATAAACAAATACTCAACCTATTCTCATACCTCAATGATGGTCTCACACAATATTTCCTTTATTTAGGTTTAATTTTTCTCTTGAAGTATAGAATAAGGAGCAATTCACGTCTCTGACAGTTCTCATGAATATTATACATTATTTAATTAATATTATTGTCATCATCATTTCACTATATTTCAGGATAGTGACAAGTGACAAAACTGAGATAAGTCGTATAAACTCACGTTGATGTTTTTTTGATCAGAATGACATTTGCTTCAGTCTAATTCACGTTTAATTTCAGATTCTGCTTCACCAATCTGAATATAAAACGTAAATAGTTAACGTCCCTTAAGAGGACAAAATGCATGTTAAAAAAAAAAGTCTGATAAAAAATATTGCTAGTGGTGCAAAAACATTATATGCATCTTGGTAGTGAAGAATATTATTACCACATGACCCTCCGCCAAAGCCTCTTGATACAATCCTAGTTCCTGAGGGCCTCTTACAACAAGTTTCCCATCTTATACAGGGTATACCTTCAGGAGCTAACGTGATCTATTTATGGAGATCTAAGAATATTACGATTCTAAAAGTTCGTAGGGTCGGTGAAGGAAACATGGTGAATCCAACTAAAATATTTTCGTTATTGTGAAGATTCCGGTTTTTCCGGAAGTGACGTCATCTTTGTTATTTTCAACGGGACAACCTGTATTTCAAACTCATGTATCATACTCCATACCTAGATACATAAATAACTAATTCCTTCCAACTCTTATCAACGAGTAAGTTTAATGTTTATGAAATTGATCGTTAATGACCCCTATTGATGATCAATTTGTCTATTAATGCACGATTGTAGCATAGGCAACCAAACATACAACTCTTCCATTCACTGTTTATGATATAACTTACGTATCGATTACATCGAAGATTTTCCGTTAATGGTTCAGCCTTTCCAAGTTTCTGAAACGATTTTAATCCCTGTTTTTTAACACAGGGAATTTATTTTTTGTTGATTATTTTGACAAATGTCAAATGTCACTAATGTCAGTGATAAGGCTACTGGGTGATTCTTAGTAGTTTCAGGATGAATGATTGATTCGCGAACCAAGTTTTCTTTATTCGCCGTAGAATTTAACACGTCGCCCTACCTGACGGCAACAATTTGAACACTTCTGAGCGGTTTGTTTTGATGATGTAACCAATAAGCACAAACAAATAACAAATGTGAACCAATGAAAACAAAGTAAACAGGCCACTTTGACAGATTTCAAGAACCCCGATAGGTGGCGTACGCTTATTTTCTATTCCGAATTGCAGGAAAAATGAGCAATACAGGGTGTTTCAGATTCATAGTCACAGAAGCCTATGGGAGATTTCTCTCAACAAGATATAAAAAAGTTCATATCATGAACGTGGGTTCGTTTCCGAGATACATGGTTTCCAAGTTTGACACCCTGTTTGATTCCCAGTTCCAACATTAACGCGCTCGCTTTGCTCGCACCTTGAAATATCTCGATCATAAATCGCCCTCATTTCAACTCGTTGGTAAATTACTATTATTATCTTTATTATTATCGTGGAATGAAGAAAATTGAATATTATTATTATTATTATTATAGGACGTTCGTCCAGTTGGAGGGGTGAAGGTGAGTCGGAAGAAAGGACGGGACCGCCGCCGGAGAGGGGTGGACGTACAGGGTGGAGTGAAAGAGGAGGCATGCCTGGTCGGAAGTCCTGGGACAATGAGGATCACTTGCCGGAATGGGCGACGGAGAATCCGATGGAGAGTGGGGGTACATTCGACGAGAGGGGGGCTTTCCATGGATCAGATGACGAACAGGTACACAATGCAATATACAGTGTGTACGATTTCCATCTGCAACACCCTCCTAATATGAAATATCCAGATTTTCACGGCCTACTTTTTATGTTGAAGGGGTCAAAATTTCAACTAGGTCAACCGAAAATTAATGAAATTGAATCTTTGTTCCTGTAAATATGAATAATAGTAAAATTTCAGTAAATTATTCTCTACACATAACAATTTTCACTGTCATCTCAAATTTTCATTCCATTTCGCCAAAATCGGTACATTATTATGATCCTCAGTACATTATTCACATAAAACAACTGGAGAATATTCAAAACCAATTCATACACTATATTGAGAATAAATATTTCACGCCTTATGTCCATAAAACTTTTATAAGTAGAAAGTAGAATTTACTTAGTCTTGAAAATAGAAGAGATATTGTCTCACACAAAAGCGGCCAACACAAATTACTATTTGAACTCCCCCCATCATCGCTGCTTCAAAAACTATAATTCAATATCAAATCTGATTGATATTGATATATTTTGTAATTCATTTACCTTTGTAAATAAACTCAAAACATACTTTTTCTGGAACCTCTGAATCTTTGTTAGTACCTTGCATATTTATTGTATTTCTTCCAAATTTCTTTTGAATTTTGTCTACTCTTAATTTTGAAATAGGTACCCCACTAAATTTCTAAGATAAGTGATATATTCATTATGTTATATAACTTCCTGTGTGTTTTAGGCCCATCCTGTTTGTATTCCGGAATATAAAAAATATACAATAAAAATAAATTGATCATATCACCTTGCAGTCATGGTGAAAATATAGTATGGTGTCCTACTCACGAGTCCAATATTGGTCTATTCTGCGCATGACGTCACTGCGAGCCTGTCACTGTTGGATAGAAGCTTGTTGTTGATGTTGTCAAGATAACATCAATTATTCAAATAATAGTTGGTAAATCATTCCAAAATGTTCACTATCAAATATCAACATGAATTCTTTATATTACACCAACTATCTGTTCAAAACATTTCCTAACAAACTGTTTTCTAACAAATTTGCAATATAAATTAGCAAACTTCGTTGCTCCTGAAAATCACAGGAGATATAAAAGAGGATGCCTTTCAAACTGAATATCTTCCTGTTAGATCGATATTCAAGACAGACCAACGCAACCTGCAGAACGTTGATGAGAATATAATGCGAAAAAAAAGTTCGACATTACCGCTGTCGAACCGCCAGACATGGACGCTGTCAATATTGAGACCAGAGGCGGAACATACGCTGACCAATTGTTTTAGTCGCAGTGACGTCCACAAAGATACGTGGTAGCACACCATACTATACTTCCACCATGCTTGCAGTCTTTGGAGAGTGTTTGTATGCCATTTTATCTGTGTTATATTTGACAGCGTTTTATCAGTTCAGACGTTTTTCACATACCGTCATTCGGGGTGAAGTCGGACGATTTTTGCAGTTTTTTGTTGATAAAATCTACAATTCAAAAAAATAAAATCCCAAAAAAATAATTAAGAAGCTTCCATGTCTCCTTTGTCAATTTACATAGTGAAAGTAATGACATTTTCATCCCCCTCCCTTTTTTTTTCAGATGAAGTGTGTCCGCCATCACCCCAACGTGTGGGGTGTAAGCGGACGATCATTTATTTAGCATTAAACATTGTCTTAGCTCCTGGTAAGGGGTGTATTCGGACAAAAAAAAATAAAAGGAATAATATTCATAGCAGAATTTCATAAATTGTAGGTAAAAAAAATGCAAAGATGCAAATTAAAATATTTTATTCTTGAAAAACATATGAATTTACAGAACAAAACACAAACTGTGTAAATTTATATATAAAAAAATAAACGTCAACTCTTATCAACTCAATAACTAATAAACATTATTATCAACACTTAAAAATATTTTTGGCTCTTGTAAAAAACATCAACAACGTTACTCTATTTTAATATTTTTTAATGAAGACAGCTCTGGGAAATTAAATCTTTGGCGCCTTAAATCTTTGATATTTTTTAAAACTTTCACGATTTGTTCTTTATCTATGAGACTTTCATCTTTAACTATCGGATATAAAAAATATTCTGCAATTTTATTTGAATTTTGTTTTCTCAAGAAGTTAACTAAAAAAATCTCTTTGGTTGCTTCCTTGATCACTTCAGTAACACAGCCAATATAGTATTTATTTTTTGCATTACAAGTAAACTTAACTACTACGAAACTTTGTACTCTTATTGCAGGGTCAGTCTCATTAATACCGCTTTGGTTTAGAGGGCAAAAATTTTCATTATTTTCATCTTGCATTTCCTCAGCTCCTACTTGATCATTCTCATTGTCACTTTCAAGTTCTCTTTCGAGTTCTTCATCCTCACTTGTATCATCTAGGGCTATTTCGGCCTCACTCTCAGATGTTTCCATATCCATATCCCTTGAGGAAATGCCTTTTCCAGCAGCTACTTGCAATTTTTTTCCACGTTTCTTCTTCGTGGCGTCTTCAGTAATCTTTAGTCTACTTTCATGAAGGAACTCCTTGAGAGAGTTAGTCCAATGTTCTTCATTTGCGTTATTGTTTTCATTTCTCTCGGGATCAGGTATTTTCTTGAGAACAGCATCTGGTGATAGCGGAACAATTCCACAGGCTCGGAAGCCAGACATAATATTCGTTTTCATATTTTCGATGCCGTCGATGGATTTCCGTAAAAGCGCAGGGAACTCCGATTTAACAATGCAACCTCTGTTTTTCAGTTTCCAATCAGCAAGCACAGATCGCCAAACTTTTTTAAAAGGTCCAAAAAATGACACATCCAGCGGTTGCAGCAAATGTGTTCCATTCGGAGGCAATAAAACAAAAGAAATATCATTTTGCTCGCAACAACGTAAAACATGCATTGAAGTGTGGGCTGCCAAGTTGTCCCCTATTAAGACCTTTCTTCCTGGAAGCTTCCTACAATAGGGTAGGAGAATCTTGTCAAACCAATCGTCGAAAGTAACTGTATCAAACCATCCGGATTTGGTACGATTGTATACAGTCCCATCAGGGCCTCCTTCTACCCAAGTTGGATACAAATGTACAGACTTGTAAACAACGTATGGTGGTAAAAGTACCCCTGATCCACTAATAGCCATCATAATTGATATGCTTGACTTACTTGAATCTACAATCCTTTCTACCCTCTTAGATCCTCGTTTACATAAGACTTTTACTCTCCCGGGATCATCGGACAAGTTGCTTTCATCGTAGTTTATTATATTAGAGGGTGGGATATTTTCAATTGTTTCTCCCAGGTTCAAAAAATAGCTTTCTATTATTTCCTTTGTTATATTTGCCCTTGAGCGTTTAATATTTTGAGCAAATCGTTCTGTTAAAATTTTATTCCGAGAAATAAATTTGTAAAACCAGTCAATTCCAGGGTAATTGTCTTTGAATTGTTTTATTTTTGCTCCTTTTCTGTCTAAATAGCTCTTAACTAATAATCTCATATCTTGCCTGGTAAGAGGAAAACCCCACTCGCTGAATTTTAAAATGCCTTTGGCCAAAAGTTTTTCTTCGTCTTGTGAAATCACGGGTTGCCCGCCATGATTTTTCGTTTTTATTCCCTTTTTCTTGTCATGTAACGTAGATTTGGGCACCCCATAATACTCAGCAGCTTGTCTTATACTTTTTCTGCCTTGTCTGATATCTTCCAGTGCTCTAGCGATGTTTTCTTCATTGTAATTTTTGAAATTAATGCCGATTTTCTTCTTATAGCACCTAACCATAGTGTCCGCCTTCCCCCCTATAAAATGACATTTTTTACTAAAACGCCATTATTTAAGAAAAAAATAAATATTTTTTTAGCAAATTGCCATGGGTTTACTAATAATAGAGCACATAACAAATAATAGCTCATTTGAAGTATATAGTTTCAGTATTCTCTAGTGCCCAACAGTTTCTTTTCTGGTTTTCAAATTCTTAGAAGAAAATAAAATTTATAAAATCCTTACCACGTACTCTACGGCGAATTTGTCTAGCAGAAACGCACCACTCCCAACGTCACTCGAGCTGAACTGAGAGGAATAAACCGGTCGGTGGATTTTTTGCGCGTCTAGACAAACGAAATTGTAAAACACACCGGCCAATACCTGTCGGTCCGAGTTCACCCCCACAGTCCGACTTCACCCCGAATGACGGTACTCCACTACACAGTAACTTTGAAAATCATATCGTTCGTAAGTTTTCTAATGTTCAATGACTGAATTTATTGGGATCTATGGAAATATTGAATCATTATCCTATCCAATTAAAAAATCATAAATTATACTACACTTCCTGCAATACTGATCATTCAAGACGTGAACTGTAAAAGTGACTACCAATGAACCTTCAAATATTTTTCAATCTGACTAATACGCAGCACTCGGCTCGCACTACTTTCTATAGCCCGTGACTTGAGAGCCAGACAATGGAGAAGACTTCCAGGACTGCGGCAGGCTAAAGATCTCCTCGGAAATTTCAACCGAGAAAGATTTAAGACACTGATAAACCTCAGCAAAGGAAATTTCAAAGCAATTACGGGATTTCTAACGGAGCATTGCAGACTTAAAGAACACCTAAGGAAGCTAGGCTTACAGGAGGACGGCACCTGCAGATTCTGTGAGGAAGAACCAGAAACACCCCACCACATACTGATGGAGTGTGACGCTGTACATCACAAAATATTGAACATACTAGGAACACACCAGCTGACTGTGGAAGAAATACCACAACTAGTTCCCCTCAAAATCCTCAAATTCCTGAAGGAATTAAATCTTGAAAGGCTGCTATGAACAAGAAATCCTTGATATAACAGAAGTAGATGGGGCACAATAGATCTAATTAGGTCGCAGCGCATCCATCCAACCTACCAATACCAATACAGCCCGTGCGGAAATTATTGCACAGAGTGCAATCCCTGACGCTTTTTCAATGAAACACAGAACCCACAACTGATTTTATCAATGGGACGCATTGTATGATTATGTCAAATATAATGTACAGCGTGAAATGGTTTTTCTAGTACCAACTTCAGAACACACCATTAATGTATGCTATTGAGATGTTTAAAATTCTCCTCTGGTGTGCCCACTCTTCAATTGTTTTGTCAGATTAACACTCGATATGAACAATAGAATGCAATTTCGGAACGTGGGGTTCTCATATTCGATAATGGCGTGAACGATGGAGTATTGTAGGGATCTGAACACACAGTAGATGCTGGAAGACAAGATTTGAAAAATCAAGAGACAAGGCTATTGACTTAGCGACGATAGGTTTTTATTAATCAATAGATGTTAGATGTTTTTATTGATAATTGAGAATTGAGATTCGAATTAAAAAGTTTGTCGATATATTTGGCTTTTCTGATTCACGAATTGAATAATTCATATGTGGACAACCCCCACATAATTAGTAATTATGTGGGGGTTGTCCACATTTGACAATGATTGGTTTCAACTTGAATTTGTTTAGTTTGAATTTGGATTTGTTGAATCCGTGCCATTGTGGCCTTCAAAGGGCGCTTACCAATGCACTTCTTATGGTTTAGAATGGCCATAAATATTTTCTCAGTGTAGTAGTATTTTCCTTTTTTCGTTAGGGAAATAAGTTTTTGAACATTTTTAGGTAATAAAGGTATCCTCGTGAAAATCCGCTAAAGTAAGCCGATTTCGAGATATCTCGGTTTTTAGTGTTCGATGCTGCACAGACCTTTCAGGGACACCCTGTATAAGTATAAACCACGGTACAGAAGACAATAGAGCACTGTCAGTGACGTCATATATACTAAAATTGCCTGCTATTGCACAGCTGATGGGGGACAATCATAAACATTTTCCGTAAGGGTGTAAATTTCTTGCACATTCCCCACTATAAGTACAATACCTGGGGCCTTTATTCATTTACATGTTCAGTCATTCATTCATCATGAATACTGTGGGAATGATGAATAAACTGAAGTGTGGAAATTGGTTTATTTGTCAATTTAAAATTACTGGATTCACTTGAAGTTCTAATACGCCTAATATACCGCGTAATATACCTCAATAGATCAGATTGCAATAATGTATATACATTTGCTCATATAATATCTACATGCACAACAAAATCACCAACGGGTCAGAAAGAATGAAATTCAATTCACACAATGCTTTGTTTGTCCCCCGATCAGCTGATGAAAACGACGAGTGCGCCATGTTGTCACGTCAGTTGACAGTACTCTATTATTATTCTCTCCTCGCTTCCTTATTGCCCATGATACTGAAGCATATCAGTTCTAAAAAATGTGCTCTGTGCCTTGATATGTCAATCACTATTACTTACCATGTGGCTCATTTCTAGTTTAAATGCTGCACCTGTATCTCACCAATTTAAAAAAAATTATTTATTCAAAGAAAGTATACACCAATTCGATATAATATTAATTTTGCAAAAATTAATTTTCCCAACACTCATTGATTATGTTTTGATATTTTTTAGTCCTCATTTTTATGTAAGTATTTGACTACAAATATATTGTTTGAGATTTGTTTTTTCTTGCACACATTCTGTATTAAATGAATAAAAGAATGAAACTTTTCATGTCTTCGGCGAATAATTGGTCATAGATATTATTTTTTTGCAGGCGGATGGGAAACCACCTTATAAAAGAGATACTGGTCTTCATAAATCAACGTCTCAGCAACATATTATTAGCAGGACTCAACCACCTCCTTTATCATCATCAAAATCCACCACTTCGCTAGTAAGGGTGGATGATTCTTCCAGAAAGAGAGAGGTAAGTATTTGCATATAATAATGTTTCATTAATTCCAATGATTTTTTCATCACTTCAAGGGTTCATACAAACCTTCGGAATATAAACTCATGAAACATAATCAATAAATCTTGAAAAATTCTGGTTTTACTAACCTGGGTACTTGAAGAATCTTGACAGTGACTCAAAAAATATTTTTTATTTTGGTTACCAACCAAACAGTATACTAATCATAACAAAATATCATTAATTTTCGAAAATACGGTTTTTTTTCGTCAATGATCATGCCCAGCGACTGGTAGGATTAGTAAGGGCGCCATTTCAAATTTATTGACGAAAACTTCTCGTTTGTAAACTTTAAAAAATAACCCAGTGTAAATTTGCAGTCTAATCAAGCAAGTTATGACAAAATTATTGCCATCTTGAATTTTCTAATGTTGACTGTAAATTTCTCAACCTAAAAAAAAGATATATTAATTTCACTCATGATTTCAAGATCTTGAAACCATTCAAAAATATTTGGAAAATAACTGAAATGGGAAGTATTAGGTATTAGTGAATGTAAAATAATAAAAATCAATTCACTCCCATATTCGGAAGGTCATGTAACATGAAACTCGGAGGAAAGTTGTTGAAAACAAAAATAAACAAAAACTCGTCTTGGTGTTTATTTATAAAATTAATACGTTGTTCAAGGTATCTTCAACAGAGAGAGAAGAAGATGTAAAGTTGACACATGAACATAGTATGCCAGTGGAAAGAAATAAATCTGTGCCCAAGGTTCCTGAGAAAATCGATAAGGATACCACAGTACGAGAAACAGTTACGTCAAGAAGTCCTCCAACATTGGAAGAAAGACATTCCGTAGTACCTAATGGACCAGCTAGAGAAATGCCCCGGTAACTATTGAACAGATCACTAATATTATTCGGAAAAGAACAGCCGTAAAAGGACCATTAGTACTAGGAATATTGACAGTTTGTGATGTTTACTTATCAATTGAATCAAGCTTTTTGCAATACCTGACTGACTGTCGTAACTATTTCCGAATATTTCCGGCAACATAGCATTACTTGTGGAATTTATTGTGATGAAATTTTAAGGACTTGTGGTACACCTTTGATCAATTTCTCTGTCAAAATAAATTCACTGAGAAACAGTAATAATGTATTATATTCGAAATGAATGTTTTCGATCATCTGAGGATCAATCATATTGAGTAAATCTCGACCAACATGTTGAGACGAAATCTTTAGATCATAGATAATGCGCTTTCCGGGCATTTATTTGTTTAGGAGGATATCCGATTGATGATAAAGGTGGAAAGCCCTAATTTCGAGTGACAACGGGAAATGAAAAAACTCCACCGCCCCGTGTGAGAGTCGAACTCACAACCTCTGGGTTTCATGGCCAACGCTCTGCCAATGGGCTTATATCACAAAAACATTTTATTTCATAATTCGATAGAACTCACCCAAACTAGCTCACCACCGCAAACCGTTTCTTGCTGTGAGCTCCCTACGTTTTATAAAAAATTATTGAAATCCCCGATTTTTCGGACCTCTGAAAACGAGGCGATGATGTGACGTCAAAACCCTAATACTGAAACAAGACTATTCCAGACAGAGATGAATGATACTTGATTTCTGACAAATCAATTCTAACCTAGATTGACTTTTTGCAGCTCCATGTGAAACGGGTCAACAAAGCAATGTTGCTATGTTTATGAAATATATTGGATTATTGTGAAATTGTAATGGTGCAAATGGTTTTGAGATTGAGACATTTCGTTGTCTAGAGATTGTTTATACTCCAATGATTCAACCTACAATCGACAACTCGAATATATTTTTCTGCAGTAGTGGTAGTGGATATCAAAAGATATTTCAATATCGATTTCGATTTCTCGGATATTTTGTTTGGATGATATGGCAACAGTAATAAGTGTCAGGAGAGTGTCAGTTTCAACCATATATCTACTATTTCTATATATGGCGCATCGCCTATACGATATCTCAACAAAAATGTGACCAAAATGAGAGGTACTCTTTGAATATATGAGAACGAAAAGTGAAGGATGGAAACAGCCATATTGGTTTGACAAATTTCCTATTATTTTTTCCCTACGTCGGTATCAACGCCTATTGGTCGATTTCATTACCTATAGAGACAGAAATGGGTCCCGCTTTGAGGAGAGCTATGATTCATATATCAGTAGTAGATATATATGGTTTATATATATATATATATATATATATATATATATACATCCTGCTATCATTATTGCGTCCAATCATTGCCCTTTTACATTTATTACTGCGTCCTTCTATTTATTGCGTCCATATATGGACGCGATAATGTCATCAAGGTTAAACTTTGGATAGAACTGCTTGAAATAATGAAAAAAAATGTGTTTTGAAAGCCCATGCCTCCACCTATCGATAGATCTGAGATTGACTGGTCTATCTGTCCAAATACTCGAGATATGCGGAAAAGTCTTGTAGCACATCGGACGCAATATTATGCGTAAATGAACAGAAAATATACATTGTAGTTCAGAAGACTTCCGCCAGAGCGGAATATACGAAAAATATACGAAATTCCAGTATTTCTATCTGGAGTATCTTATTGCGTCCTTATGTTTGGCAACATTGCATGATTCATTTCATTTCATTTATAGTGAAGAATGGAAGTTCCAAGAGCATCTTGCGTTCCTAAAAAGGATAGGGGGAGGAGGAAGGTGTTTGAATTTTTTTGTACATTCGGAGGTTATGAGTTCTTGGGAATACTTGCACTGTCATAGAATTCCAAAGCTTTGCCGTTCTATAGACGAATGAGTTTTGTGTGAGTGTTGTTCGACTTATTTTAAGGTTCACGACGTGAGGATGTGCTGACTGGGCCTGTCGAGTTTGTCTGAGTGGTATTTCTAGTGATGGAATGATAGCAGCGATTTCTGAGGAACATTTGCCGTGGAAGTATATATGAAAAAACGAAAGGTCGCCCATTTCCCTACGGTGTTTTAGAGGAGTCAACGTATAAGTGAGTGTGGCATTACCCACCGGGCGGATGGCTCTTCTCTGGATAGAATCTAAGAGGATCAGCGTATACTTGGGTGCTGAACCCCATAATGTGAGAATCGTCATCTGAAACTGCCTGTGTATGTGCTTTGTAGATCGTGAAAAGCGGTTGAGGTGTACAATAGATCTCCGCACGGAATTGTTGATGGCAATACCGAGCAACGATATAGTGGTCCCGGTGGAAATGGTAGTACCAGACATTGTTAGTTATATTAGGCATACTGAGTTTTGCTTTTCTAGAGGAAATACAAACTCGAGTTTTTATGGCGATGAATTCATCTGGGTTTTTGATTCCCCAGGCCATTGTCGATCTGAATGAAAACCTAGTAGGTGACCTAGTGCGAGGAGGTATGCTTCTGCCTACTAACTACCTTACTAGGTTGTCATCTAGAACGACAATGCCCAGGCTGTTCTTCAGCAAGATCGTCATTGGCAGGGTTGACTTGCCTTCGTCGTAAGTTCTGAGTTTCCTGGAAAGAAATGGGAATTCTAGATGAGAATGCAGATTATGGAAAGTTTTATCTTCTGCAAAGCTTGGATAGGGCAAGTGGATCCTAATGGAAAGCCGGAATTGATCGTCATTGACAGCATTGACTTGCCTTCGTCGTAAGTTCCCATCAGTTTTCTGAAGAGAAATTAGAATTATAGAAGAGAATGCAGATTATGGAGAGTTTCACGTCTGCAAAGCTTGGATAGGGCAAGTTGATCCTTGTGGAAAGACGGAATTGATGACAATGTTATCAGACGATACTTTATCCACCACCACATGGAGCGATCTGCCTGGAAGAAAACTCGATGAAAGATGGCATAGCTGAAGTGGTTTGGTGTATGAGGATAGTTTGTGAAGGAGTTCTTGGAAGATGGGTTTCAATTCCAGAACTTAATTATTTTTTTCCTGTTTTGCTCATTTTCCCCACTTATCTCTTCTTTCCTCTCAACATTCGTCAATTATTTGTATACAATATCTGAGTTATATGTTATAATAGGCCATATGAAGGGCCTGACATGGGCCCACTCAAGTTCAACCTAAACCTAACCTAACCAATATGCCTTTGCTCATAATGCCATAATCTCATGTTCCATCTATGCTTTGACTTTGACTCATGTCATTGACTTTTCTGTTCTTCTAATTTTTCAGTTGGATTTGAAATACGTGTTGGCTGATTGCCTCATCAATAATTCGATATTTGCCTCAATAATTTGTGCTTTCAGTATAAAACAGGGACCATTTTCAAAAACGGTTGTTCTTTCCAAAATTGCTGTATGATATTGAATCGAATATATAATTGTACGCGCTCTCATGGTACGAGGCCCTCCATCAATGAGAACCCAGGTAGCCTCGGCGTCACTACTCCAATTCGCGTTTGCTTGCTGGTGTACGTGAGTTCAATTCTCCGCTGCAGAGATGTGTCTGATGACCTAAGAAAGTGTTTGGTCATCCCTTGCTCGCACAAGTCTCTCGAAGGATTCTAGGGATTGCTCGTAAGGGGCCAACCTAATGACGGATAGAAAAATTCAGAACAATTTTTCAGAACCCGTTATTATATCCTAATACATGGGCTCGTGACTATGGGCATCGGCAGGTATATCTAATTCAACTTGATAAATTTATTAAACTATTTCAACTCCAAGTGAGTCTACAAAAAATTTTTTACAAAAAATTTCAATTCCTTAATACCCATATTTTTTGTATCGTACTTCAAATGGAGCTGAAGATGATCTCTAATACCGAAACGTGTCCCTGATCATCAAAAAAGCGAGTTAACAACGTGCTCAAATGGTGTGGAGATGATTTTGAGCTTTCCTTTCTTCCTTTGATATATAATTCTGATTTCAATCAGTCAATCATCAAAAAACTGATTTGTTCTAATGATCTTGGGGAAAGGAGGTAATTGCAACCATGTAGGACCGCATTTCATCGGCACTCTTCCTAATGATGAAACCGCAATATTTATTATCATTATCGAGTATTCTAGCAATTTACTACCTGTCGTCGAAGTGGTCCCAATGGCATAATATGCTATATCAGGACAAATATGTAATTGAAATAGTCGAAAAATCTGCATCCAAAATTTATATAGGACGACAGCCATTCATTGAAGAGAAGATGTCACCATAAGGAGATATATGGACATGGCCAATGTGCTTGTTGGTTCATTATCATCTTTAGAGATACCATCATTGGACAGCTTTCTTCATCAACAAATATATCACAGTGCTAATATATGAGTACGAAATAACTGCGAAACCGTTTCACTGTAATCTTTGGCAATGAAGTTCCTAGAATGAATGCCGCAGTGATCATTTTCATATCTTCCGTGGGCCATTTATCTACTAAAAACTCATTAGATTGATATGACCGAATTGATAATATGGAACATCAGGTGGAATAATTTTCTTTTGAGTCGATGAGATTTCAAAATTATAATTTTTACTTAACTTGTAATAGCTGGCGGCAAATTACGACCGTCATCCGATAACGAAATAACAAATCTCCTAGAGACATGTGAGAAAAATATATTTCATCAAACGGCACCTTCTCTATAATACAGGCCATCCAATGAATGCCCATTTCATACCTAAGAAAGATTCGGATGTCCATGGACAAGAAATAAACATCCATCGGAAGAACCAAAATGCCTATCCAATGGAATACCACTGACACTATTACAATGGATACCAATAAAAAAGTTCTGGATATCCATCGGCATGAATTGTACATCCATCAGATGAACATGAATGCTCATCCAATGTATAATTAGTGACACCTTCTCTATCGATATCCATAATGTATCTAGTAGACTGAAAGAATGCATATGACATCGCCTAGACCAAATGACTGTTGTTTCCGGAATGTCAGTGGTTGTCAAGTCGTGGACAGATGAAAATCTGAAGGGTATCTCCCATACAGTAATGAATTTGCGCCTTCGAAGTGCCCACCTGATGTCAGGTGTATATATTTGATAATTTCATTTCATCATCTGAATAACCTGAGACCTATTGGTCCCAAAAGACGGATTGTGATAGTAAATATCCAAGATAGTGACGTATAGAGATTCATGTCTGATTGTAAGATGTTTCGTGTTCAACGAGCAAAGAACTATTTGGACCAAATTATGAGAAAATATATTCAAACACATAGGGGGAGAGTTCGATTCATATTGTTCAAAACGTATATATGAAGAGGTCAATTCATTCACATTGTTGTACAATTGGTGAACTGTAGTTGTCCAATTCATATCTAGTAGTTTCAGAATTTTTGTCTTATAGGTATACAATTCATCACAGTAGTTTCACAGTAGATATACAGGATGGACATCCAATGGACATCCAAACTTGCGGCCTATGGATTTACAATGAATGTCAATTAGATAGAATCTGGACATTTTGAACCATCCAATATACCGGGTGGCTACGGAAGTATTGCCTACGGAATATCTCAGTTATTGTATGAAGTAGCTTTGTGAAATTTGAAGCTTCGATATAATGACATAAGAGCTAGAATTTGAGCATATTGACATGTCGAAGTTAACTTCCGGTCTGACCGGAAGTAACATCAACTTTCTTATTTTAAATGGAAACCCTATTTTTTTTTTCGCCTCAAATTCTAGCTCTTATGTCATTATATCGAGGCTCCAAATTTCACAAACCTACTTTATACAATAACTGAGATATTCCGTAGGCAATACTTCCGTAGCCACCCGGTATATCCATGTCCATGTATGTCTATTCAATGGACATCCATCGGATAGTTTCACTTAACTGAGCAAAATGATTGGGAAATTCCACCTGCAACCCTACCTGTGTTACCCCTTAAGTTGGCTCAAATTCTCAGCACAACGATTTCTTTTACTTCCATGACGTGTTAAGGAGTTGAAACTGAATGCAAACACACGGGGATAATGCCCCTTCGCGAACATTCTAACTTGGCGCGATTCAACCAGATATAAGTTTATGGGGGAGCGCCAATATTTCCGAGAACATTTTGCCCCTGTCTGAAGATGAACAAGTTTATCGAACCGATGGTTCATCAGATATTTTCAAATATGAGCTAAATATTATCTGCCCCTATTCGCGAAGAGGGGATCATTTTCTTAAAACTCATTATCACGTGACGAAAGTCATTGCGAAATGACAGCAGCACAAAAATCGGCGCCAAAGATTTGACCCAGATTGAGGAAATAGCATAATTTCGATTTCGCACAGGAAAGTGCCATTTTACATTCATTTATCCTAGAATATAGGCTGTCAGAGGTGCCGTTTGATACAATACATGCGTTTGTGACATGTCATATCGTTATCCGATGACGGTAGAAATTTGCAGATTGTTCTCCTTCTATTGTCAAAATGTCGCGCAACTTGACAAATACATATCAATACCGAACCATATTACATTAGTATTGAAGACTTGCATCATTATGAATAGTCAGACGCAATAATGTACTATTTATGTAATAAAAATATACCCTCAGTCTGGCAACATCGCTGGACGCACTAATGTATATACAGGACGCAATAAAGATCGTTGAATGAACCCCAAATATATGGCTGGATGCAATAACATTCGTGAAATTGAATGACGCAATAAGGTACGCTGAATGAAAATAAATCGTATATCTTAAAAATAAAGATAGAGCAATTCTGAATAGAGGTAAATGCTGGAAATTATGTGAGGAGAGATATACTTCGACTAGTTTCTATCCAACCTCATTCTTTCTGGTGGACGCAATAAGTATGGATTATGAAAAGACGCAACAAAGATAGTAGGATGTATATATATATATATATATATATATGGCGAGATGGGGTTTCTACGTCATAAGAGGGTCTCCGTTTTCAGAAGGTACTATCATTTATGTCCAAAAATAAAACATTCCAGTTAATTTTTCGATCGAATTATGTCGTCAATCATTATTTATGTATAAAAGGATCATTATAAACATGGTTTGAGTTAAAAGTTCTACTAAGGTGTACACGCCCATTGAGCTAACGGGTCATCCGTTGATCAATCGACAGGAAGGTCGAGTTCTCATCACACACCAGGCGGCAGAATCCTTCCAATTCCCGAAGTCACTCGAAATCATGCACTATATGAAGCATCGCTGGCAGGATGGTACTATACAGTCTCCAAATTTCCCGGTTCGTCCTCTGGCATTGTCTTTCCTTGTATACGGAAATGTCCGAAGGCAATCTTACATAGGAGTCGAGTCATAATGTTTGTCGGTTACTCAACGGAAAAGATACATATAATGATATAGATGGAAAGCCCTAATTTCGAGTGGCAACGGAAAATGAAAAAACTCCACTGCCCCGTGTAAGAGTCGAACTCACATCCTCTGGGTTACATGCCCAACGCTCTGCCAATCGAGCTAACGGGTCATCCGTCGATCAATCGGCAGGGAGGTGTGAGTTCGGCTTTCACAGGGGGAGCCGGTTTTTTCCTTTTCCGTTGTCACTCGAAATTAGGCTTTCCATCCTTATCATTATATATGTACCTATCATTTCGCTTGAGTAACCGACAATCATTATGACTTGACTCCTTTGTATGATTGCCTTCGGACATTTCCGTATACAAGGAAAGACAATGCCAGAGGACGAACGGGGAAATATGGAGACTGTATAGTTCCATCCTGCCAGCGATGCTTCTTCTAGTATATGATTTCGAGTGACTTCGGGAATTGGAGGCATTCTGCAGCCTGGTGTGTGATGAGAACTCGACCTCCCTGCCGATTGATCGACGAATGACCCGTTAGCTCAATTGGCAGAGCGTTGGGCATGTAACCCAGAGAATGTAAGTTCGACTCTCACACGGGGCAGTGGAGTTTTTTCATTTTCCGTTGTCACTCGAAATTAGGGCTTTCCATCTTCATCATTATATGTATCTTTTCGGTTGAGTAACCGACAAACATTATGACTCCTATGGATATCCGATTGCCCATCACGACATATCTGATGATTTCCCTTCCAGACCTGATGACCGAGATTTCGAGAGACTTCAGGAGGATTTCGTATTGAAATTGGTGGTGGACGAGGAGGTACCGAAACACATGCAACAGCCGCAACACCCGCAACAGCCTATCGGCAATCTCGAGGTGGGGAGTATCCAGCCACCACCGAATTTGGTAGCGCCACCAATCGATAAATGGTTTTATCAAGATCCACAGGTAATAGCTATTCATATACAGGCTGATTCACGATGGATGGCACATTAGACGTTTCTGGTGAACCAGACAACGGATCACTTTGAAAATTTAATGGAGGGCATATTCGGACATTCTCTAGCCAACTAAAATATTTTCGACAATGCGGTGTTGCTGCTTCTACTAGGAAGCAGATCCAAATGCATTGAAATTGTTCTGAATTCGTATAAATTTCTTGAGGTTCATTGGCGGTAGATTCGGATACATGAACTTTCCACATGTTCTGCTGATAATTTTATCACACTGTCCAAAAATAATAAAAAAATTCATAAGAACTTCGTTTGCATGAATAGTTTTGTTTCATCGTTTTGAAGGTATTTGCATCTTCTGAAGTGACGAAAATATCGATATTAGGAGAATGTCACAACGCTACTGTCAAACAGTAATCATGGCCTGCTTACCAAATACCGAATGGAAATACCATTCTGAAGAGACATTTTCACAAATAAATGCTCATAAGTCCGAAACTTGACTAGTTAGGTATAGGTATGATATACATAGAAAGAAAGCAAATTTCAGCAGCTTTCCGAATTTTCAATAATATACAGGGTGTTCCATTTAAAATAATCAAATTTCAGCAACTTTTTCAAGCAAACGAAAAAACTGTATTTTTTACCACCCTGTATTGAAGTAACGGAGATTAGGCTGACGTGTGGAAAGTGTCCAAGTATCACCTAACTCCAAACCAAATTTCGATATCATAGTACTTCTTAACTAAAAGATATCGGCATTTTTAGAAGTCATGATTTTCGAAGAAAAAAATTGAAATTAATTTTTATTTCGAAAACGGTAACAGATAGGTATAGGGAAGTATCAAGAAAAGTTGTCGGACAATTGTTGGAGATTCCAAAAATAAATTATATACAGAGTGTTCCATTTGAAAAATCAAAGTTGCTACTGCTTTCTAATAGAAGCGGCAACACCGCATTGTCGAAAATATTTTAGTTGGCTAGAGAATGTCCGAATATGCCCTCCATTCAATTTTCAAAATGATCCGTTGTCTGGTTCACCAGAAACGTCTAATGTGCCATCCACCGTGAATCAGCCTGTATTGTAGCCCAAGACCTATGAGTTCATGCACGTTTTCATATTCACCAGTGAATCCACCAATCTACCAACTCGGTCCTTATATATTTCAAAGACTGGAACCTTTGGCGCGATAATACACTACACTGTTTTACCACTTACCAAACCGATTTTTTAAACGCCTTGACACGTGTTTCGCTAACTATTTTAGCATCTCCAGGAGAAGATTGAAAGAGGAGAAGATTGAAACTGTTTTTATCTTTTTAATCTTCTCCTGAAGATGCTAACATAGTTAGCGAAACACGTGCCGAGGCGTTTGAAAAATCGGTTTGGTTAGTGGTAAAACAGTGTAGTACGTCCATATATGTTTATATCATCCTTCATTTCATTAGGATGTCTGTACAGGTGTGCCAAATTGGACACTTTTAAAGGGAAAGTCCAATTCTTGAACCAGATGAAAGAAAACTGATGTCGGTGCCTGATGGTGGATTCTCATGAAAAACTGAATGGTACAAACCACATATCGATATCTGTCTTCGTTTTGAAGTTACAAGGTGTTTTTCAAAATGGGCATTTTTGAGAAGTGGTTACAAATATTTTTCTGGCAAAAACTGTCTGACCTACCTGTATATCTGTGTTTAGGTTTGATTGTAGGCTCTGCAATTCACTTTACCACCCATTTACCTACATATACGTTCACCAGTCCATTTTCTGAGCTGAATGTGAATTCTTACACCTCCAAGACTGGTTATCAAATTATAGGGCCCTCAGCCGAGTTATTGGCAATTTTAATGTACCACTTATTCCCATGGCTATATGTTGATAATTATTGATTAATTGACTCCTGATATACTTGAGTGTGGTATCCCTACATGCCATAATTTATATCAACAAAGGTAATCTGTGGTGCTATGTTGATTATTAGATCATAATATTTAGTGCTTTTCCTTATGAGCCAAGAAACCTTGTTTAGAATTTTTCTTTTTATAAATATATCGAATGTCTACTGGTAAAACTCTATAATAGTGGTTTCATTGGCCCAACCCAGCAACTATCGATCAGAGAACCCACGGAGCAGTCGGCTGTGTGCTACTACTTGGTTGTTACAAGGGGACAGTAGTAGTGCACATTAAATCTTTCTTGTTTTCATATTCTTGGATCATATATCAGTGATTTCATGTAGTAGTTACATGAAATTTGGAATGTTTTAGAAGCTTGATATAATTTTCCTTAAATTGGAGTATCTAAAGTAAAGACTATATGCTGTAAGCTGAGTATAGCACCCAGATAAGGTAAAATCCTTATAGCTGTGACATTTGACTTGCATATGCATGTGGGATCAGATACTCACATTTCACGTTTCTCTTCTTCTGTCATTGACTATGTCTGTAGTAACTTTGATGGACAAAGATCATTATGCTCAGTGACCCCTTCAGGGATATCTGATCATGAGGCAGTAAGATGTTCAATACCTATCGAAACGAAACAAAAGAAGAATTGGTAGATTGTTCAGTAGGGCCAACTATAATAGGTTCTATCAAAATTGTTTGGATATAGACTGGGAGAATCCTTTATATCAGACTGAATCATTCTCAAAAGTTCATAATGTTTTATTAAAAGTATTTGATTCATCTTTTCCTAGACAAAGAATGTAATCAAAACGAATGAAGTCGTGGTGGTTGACGAAAGGTTTGAGAATTTCTTCCAGAAATCTGCGCTCATTGCATAACATTCAGAAATTTTAGAAACAATACATTGAGCTTCCAGAATTATTTCAATCATTATCGCAGAATCTATAGATCTACACTCAAGTTAGCAAAGGAAACATTTTACATTTATAGAATCAATGGACTTAATAATGAGATGAAGGAGACCTGAACGATTATGAACGATATTAGAGGAAAAAGAAAAAAAAAATGACATTCCATTGAGCACTAATACAATACATGAATATTATTGTTCCATTGCACATAGTCTTGGTGAAGGAATTGTTGTCCCATATGATCAGTTAGTCAATCTGGAACATTTGAGAGTTGAAAGAAACCTAATTCTATATGATATCAACATTCATGAGTTGATTGAAATTTTGAAGGACATAAAAAACAAGAATTCAACTGGCTATGACGAAATTTCCCTAAAAATTGAAAATCTTCCATTGAATGCCCTCTCTGTGTTGGTTGCGCATATAAATTGTTTCATTCCAGTCCGGTACTTTCTCAGATTTTCAGAAAACTTCTGTTGTCATCCCTTTGCATAAGAGCGGAGACATAGATAATCGATCTATTCTTCGGCCGATCCCGTTCGTCGAATTTTCAAATTCTCACAAGTTATCAGTGACAATCAGTTTGGTTTTCAAAAAAAAAAAAAAAAAAAAAAAAAAAAAACACGCACGATGCAATATTCTCACTTCTGTATAAAGTTTATTCGGAAATAAATGCAGGTGAGATTTTCGCGGCGGTGTTTTGTGACATATCAAAAGCATTTGACTGTGTTGATCATGGAATACTGCTGAGAAAGCTTCATCAGTATGGATGCAGAGAAATGACATACAGATGGTTCGAATCATATTTATCAGGAAGAAATCAAGTGGTCAAAACGACAGAACTATCCAAGAAGAGAAATATTGATTATGGTGTTCCACAGGGATCTGTGTTGGGACCTGTACTTTTTTTTATTGTATATCAACGACCTCACGAAAATTGATATAACTGGAAAGTTCACTCTTTTCGCAGATGATACTACTATATTATGGAACAGTAGGAATCCTCGAGATCTTCATCAAATGATATCATCTGATTTGAAAAAGGTGAAACATTGGTGTGACGCCAATATTCTGTCGTTCAGTATATCTGAAAATAGTATTATATCATTCAGATCCTCCCTTGATGAACTCACATTTGGTGATAATTATATTGAAAGTAGAAATTATACTTAATTTCTGGGATTGTTCATCGCAAGAATCTGAAATTTGGTAACTACGTCAACCTACTCACTGGTAAGATTTCTTCTGGATGTTATGCAGTGAGAGTGATTTCTAGGGAATAAGGATTCTTTACTGCCAAGATGGTATATTATTCACTAATAGATTCTCAATTACCATATGAAATACCTTTTTGGGGAGTGTGCAGCCCAACGTCTTTGAATTCTACAGAAACGAGCGATAGGGTATTTATGTAATGTCAAACCTCGAGATTCTTGCAGAATTTTATTTTCCAATAATGAAATATTGACAGTGATTGCACTATTCATTCTGGAATCTGTTTGCCTGATAAATAAGCACAAGTTAAAATCCACTACAACTCCCATCCATCATAACACGCACAACAGAAATTTCAGTTTGAAACTTCCTCTACCCACAAGAGAGTTTATTAAAGATTCCATATACTATAATGGTGGAAAAATGTACAACCACTTGCCAGTTGATACAATGTCAGCAAGTCTGAATGACTGTCAATTCAGGAAGAAAGTAAAAAAGTTCCTGTCTGATAGACTCTATTACAGTTTGCAGGAATATTATAGTGATACGTTTGAGTTGTGATATTTTAGTATTTTAATGTGGTACTTATTTTGGCTATTATCTGACCTAGCTATGTCAACAAGATTCTTCTTCAGACAATAAAGCATATATTATTTTTATTATTATGTTATATGAATTTCAGGGGCACATGCAAGGCCCGTTCTCCCACCTCGAGATGGCCGAATGGTACAAAGCGGGCTACTTCAGCAACCAGCTGAAAGTGCGCCGACCCTGCGACGAGCGCTTCTTCCTGCTGGGCGAGCTGATCACGCTGTGCGGAGGCGCGAACCCCTTCCAGTCGGCCGTGCGCTTCCCGGTGCTCAAGAACGACGTCACCGAAATGGCGGATCCGGATCTGTTGAAGTTCCAGTATCTGTCACAGATGGCGGCGTACAAGCAGGCGCAAGCGAGGATGCTGCCGGAGCCATGGAGCGCTATCACGCTGCAGCAGCAGGAGCTCGCCGCGCAAAGACTGATGGTGCAACAGCAGGTTGGTGTTATGGTGATTAGAATAGAATAGAATTTATTGATCTCATAATATCAAATAATGACATAAAATAGGTAGCCCAATCACCTTAGTATCAAATTTGACGAATAGCGGGAATCGAACCCAAAGTTTTGAAAATTGGTGTACATGTTCCCTTTGGCATGACATTCAACCAAAAAAAAGTCACCACCTGTACCTGTAGAGCTAACTCCGCCATCTTGAAAAATGTGTGCACTTTTTCAGTTATTCGGTTATATCTCAGTATCTGTTAACTTTATCGATATCAATATGCTGAGGTAAAATGAAGGAAATTGAATTTAGAAAAAAAAAAAGTTCTCCACATAAATACTCGTTTAGTGCATGGTTTATCAGTAAATCGTAAAACAGTATGCGATATTTGAGAAACTCAATCATAATTATTATTCTGATATACATATATTCCAACTACAAGTAACTCTCAGAGAGTCGGCGCTATATTCAAGGATCCTCGCAACACAAAACAGCGATCGGCCATCTATATGGATAAAGGAGTCTTGATAAAGTGCCACATATTAATGGTCTTTTTTCTTTTACATCGTATGATTTGGCAGTACAATCAAACGTTCCTGTCAATCTGCTCCAGTTACATTGCCTACGTCAGGAAACACTACGGCTCTAATTCGGTGATTGTTTTCGACGGGTACTCTGATGATGCTGATGGAACTAAAAAGGCTGAATAGCATAGACGTGCTCTTAAAAATACATGTGCAGACTTATTATGTTTTGTTTGATGAAAACATGCCGGTCACTGTCGCACAAGAAAAATCACTAGCTAACCCAAAGAACAAGGAGCGATTGATTGCTGTATTATCAGAAAAAATGAAGGGTTCATCACAAAGCAAGCAGTGGACGATGCGGATTCGCTAACAATACAGACAGCTATTGAAATGTCTTCCTCTACCCAAGTCACCGTTGTTGGATAAAATGTAGAACTACTTATTCTACTCATAGCTTTGGCTCCAGCAGAACGCAACATTTACTTTGTGAAACGAAAAAAAGGCAATGTATAAAGGCAAAAAGGTATACTGTCCCCGCGAACTACAAACCAATATTAAATAACAGAAAACTATCCTTTTCTTACATACCTTTGGGGGTTATGATACCACATCATGTTTATTTAAAAAATGAAACATAGATGAAAACCCAAAGTCATCTCCACAACTTTTAAAAGTTGTGGAGATGACTTTGGGTTTTCATCTATGAACTACACCACTCCACTTTGAGTTACCATGGACTTCTTCCGAAGATTAAAAAAGGAAAGTTGAAATGCTTCAAACTCATGAAGGACCGGCCATCATTACGAGAAGTTGCGAAGGCTTTCAACAACCCGGAAGCTAAGAGTGAAGAAGTATCTACTACATGTGAAAGATTATTTTTAGCTCTGTATGATGCCCATAAAACGAAAACATCATTGAAGAAGCTACGGTACAATCTGTTAGCCAAATCTGCTACAAAAAAAAGTAGATCTGGCTTCTCTGCCCCCGACGGAAGCAGCTTTGAGGCAGCACTCCTTCAGAGTCAATCATCAGGTACAAGAGTGGTTGGGTAATCAAAGATGTTCTGAGCTTTGGGTGTGGAAGAGGAGTGCTGTTGGTCTGGTTCCTGTGCCAACTACCCTACCTGCTGCTCCAGATTCTTTGCTCCAGATGATTTCTAGCGATTGCAAGAAAGGATGCACGGCAGCCTGCGAATGCCGAAAAGCGGGTCTTAAATGCTCGATTAGTTGTGAATATTGCCTTGGAGCATCGTGCCACAACGCACAATACTGTCAGGACAACGCCGAAACGCTGGAATCCGAGGTGAAGTTCGATTTTTCCGTTTCATCTCTTCTAAGTAATGAATACGATGTTCCGGACGAACCCGACCCGATGGTTGTATTTTCAAATAACGAAGAATACATGCCTTATTCTCCATGTTATACCCTGCGTCTTCGAAATGGGTGATATACCCGAAGCGTAGAGTTGTCCCAGTTTTCAGCAGAACGAGAGCGGCTGATGAGACCTGGTGGGTCGAAACAGTACTGTCTTGCTCCTGCTGACAATTGGGGCAACTCTGTCCATCCTGAAACTCTTGATTATGAGATCTAGCAGCTTTTCTACTGGTCACCATGAGCGTATACAACTAAATTATAGTTTGTCCAGTCGGTTTGCAGTAGAATTTTATATTTTGCCAAATCGTTGTGGCGACATAAGTCCAAAACCGTGGATATTTCGGAAATAATCAATGAATACTTTTTTACGATAAATTTTGTTAGCTTCCTTTTACCTCTTCACCATTATCGCGATAAAGTTGACAGTTACCGAGATATACGTGAAAAACTGAAATATTGCACCTATTTTCCAAGATGGCGGCGCAAGCTCTACAGGTATGAGTTGTGACTTTTTTTTGGTAAGATGTAATGCTAAAAGGAACACGTACACCAATTTTCAAAACTTTGGCTCCGATTCCCGCTATTTTTTCTAAGGTGACTGGGCTAAGGTCAAAAAGAACAAATTAAAATTGAAAAGTCTAGCCGAAACTAGAGCATTTACCTTAAAATACTAAAATTGGCCAATAATAGTCCAGTAAGTTTGTCGCGTGAACATATGGGGGTAGTATGCGTCAAATCCGGTAGTTCTGATTTTTTGCAGACTTGTTCATGATGTTGGCCTAATGAATGATCCAAGTTTGTGAAATCGAAGCGCAACTTTGTCAAAAATCGAAAAAAAAAAACGAAAAAATCGAATTTGCTACATTATGATAGAAAACTGTCTCTGTAGACATGATAGTTTTCGAGATTGAGCCTTTCAAAGTTGTTTATAATTTTTTTCGAACTTCGTAATTTTTTGCAATGTTTTAGGCGTCACTCGAATATACTCTAGCGGGATGAAGTTTCAATTACCTTCGACAAGTCACGAATGCGACCCACCTGTAGCACGTTTTCAAACTTTTTAGGCAATCTAAATCACGGGACTTTTTAGCTGACAAGATGGCGCCTGGTTGTAGTGCCATCACATATTATAAGTATTGGTTTTCTCTCAGGTACCTGCTACACATCCTTCGGTTTCTCATGATTGATTCTGTTGTTAGATCATTTCTCTTGATGGCTAAATTAATCTAATTCTTTAATCTTCAATATTACTCTATTTCCTAATGAATAAACCCATTAACTTTTGTTGTACTTATCTTTTCTATTTCATTATTCGTAGCTGAGCTTAAACATCCAGGTTCACACTCTTCATTTTCTTTCTTATCATCTCATCATGAAAGTACAGGGCTTCGATTGTATAATCAGGGTCAAAATTGGATTGTGAAAAATTGTGAAGTTCGAAAAAAATGATAAACTTTGAAAGGCTCATTCTCGGAAACTAATGAGTCTACAGAGACAGTTTTCATATCATATTGTAGCAAATTTGGTCTACTTTAAAAACGTTCTGAAAGAGTTTTTTTGTCGAAAAAATAGTCCTCTATTATAATCGCCAAAAACTGAAAAAAAAAAGATTTTTCCACAGTTTTTTCGATTTTTGACAAAGTTGCGTTCGGCGCTCGAGGTCACAAACTTGGATTATTCATTAGGTCAACATCATGAACAACTTTGCAAAAAATCAAAACTACCGGATTAGGCGCATACTGTGATGTATAAAGTTACTGGATTATAATATAGGTCAATAAATACAATGTACAAATGAGTGTTTCTTTTGAATCATAAATATTCGTTTTACTTCTGGTGTCACAGAAAATAGTGCAAAATGTTTCATGTATGAATGATGAAAAATTACTTGGGATGTAATATCAATAAATAAGTTTCTCTTTACTCAGCAGGTTCCTCAAGATCTTCAATATTTGCAACAACCCCAAGCAGCCAATCCTCTGATGCATATGATTAACCAGATGCAACAAGTATGTATCAATCATAATTATGTAACCAAACATTTTTTAATTTCATTAATTATCCCCATCTTTAATAGACATCAATACCTCAATGATACCAGGCAGTTCTAGTAATTTAAAAATTTCGGTTCTATCTGAAGGAGTAGGTTTAGTCTATTATTGCTTGTTGATTTTTTGAGTTAACAATGCTGAATGTCAAAGTTTGATGATTGACTCACCTCTAGCTATAGCAGAAAAAAAATTGACATTAACACTTTATTGATATACTTCTTCTTTCTGAAATGCCGAAATGATAAAGCAACTTTGAGGTGGAATAATATTACTTTAGTGACACGTGATACTTTGTCAGTCACTTTTCTATTGGTTTGCTAGATTATGAGCTTAAACACCCAGGATCAGAACCTCTCTGTGGTCATGTATTAAATGATATGACGTTGACAAGTGTTCAGGCATCAAGAGAAATTGTCACGTGGAAGACCATTACCACAAAACATCAAACATATGTGTAGGTAAGAACAAACTTACACTGTACACCAAGCAGTCAACGAATGTCGGATCAAATAAGTACTGTACTCATGAACTAAAGAGGAAACAAAAAATAAATGTCACTATGACTACAATAAACCACCCAAACCGGAGTAAAATACCAAAACTCTTCAATAATCTCAAATTCACTAACAGAAGTCGTTGAACGCAAAGCAAAACACTGAATAACTGAAACTTATCCGGCTCTGCCTTAAGTCTACGTCAGGAAAACTGACAGAGGTACATTTTTACATAGTTGCCAGATGAACTTGTAAGAAATTAGATCATAATAATTCACGGATCTCTTGTTAGCCATTCAATTAATATCAGTGAATATATAAATTTTGTCGTGGCGATTTTCTTTATTATTTTTGGAAAGCTGTTAATCATCAGTTACAGAAAGTTCCATAAGAAATATGAACTATATCTCAATGCAAAAATATGTGATTTTCGTGTAAAGATGTATAACTGACAATGTTGCCGACAATGTGCGCATGATCATCATTGCCGTAAGCACCCTGGTGGTATCGGTTTTCAGCGATTTGTCAGACTTGCATTAGCCTTCTAGGTCTTTGAGTTCTGTGGCTGTTCCCCTCAAATTCAACAAATGTTTGTGAGAATATTCCACTATTAGACACTATAGACGATGAGAACAATTCTTTTCCAATATAAATTCATGTTCTATCCCAAAACCATTGTTGTGAGACCCAAAATTTGTCTGCCTTCCAATGGCGCTAGTTTACTAAAAACATCAAGAGCTCATTTTTCAATAGAATATTTGTCAATATGGACAATCTTAGTTTTTCAAACGTCACCTCAGACCAATTACATTTTTTTCCATTGTCTAATTTCGAGTTCATGGGTTATTGGTTTGTTCAATTTTGGTATTCCATTTCGCTCTACAAGTAGAAGTAGAAAGAGGCTATGTGGATTTTTTCAACACTCCTTTTTTAACAATGAAGTGAATTTGAGGCAACATGTAATGCATTCCAGCAACATCAAGTGAGAGATTCTTCGCGAGCCACATAGAATTGAATATATTCGAGAAAAGCAAGTATGAATAATTAATAAGTTCCTACGTTTCTATTCTTAGCTTGCATGCCATCATTATGATGATGTGTGAACACTTGTCACAGAACTGATGAATTTCATTTCCTACTCAAATTCAAATAACATTAATGCTTCGGGAATTTTATCATTGCATAAACAATAGTTTTTGCTGCTTTCATTTTTTTGTGTGTGTATGAACAATGTTCATACTGGAAATGTTTCAACATGGGACATTTTTGATTATTAACTTGACATAAAAATGGATCTTGACAAGAATATGAAAAATTTTTAGGGTTAGGATAACAAATTTCTAGGGTTAGGATAACAAATTAATCTCAGTTGATTCCGGATTAGAGGTCACTAGCTTACTGAAAATGTTGTCACTAGCTTACTGAAAATGTTGTCACTATGGGCAATTTTCGAATTTTTTTTTCACTGAACAGACAATGTTATACCTGACGCCTATTAACTAGGTTTTCATTATTTAGAACGACAATGACAAAAAAAAACCTGTCTATTCACCATAAAATTATAATATTCAGTGAAAAGCTATAACTGTCAGCTGGCTAATGCCACGCAGAACATTGAATTACATCCCCTCGAAATCTATGCATCGACTTGAATAAACGAGTGCCTGAAAAACAGGGGCATGCCAATTCTCAGACGATTTTGTCCGTTATTATGATCACAATTTCAGGTATTTTTTTACTCATCTTACAGTGGCTGTAGCTCAGAGGGGGTGCATTTTAGGACATATTTTTTTATAAAGAAAGAATCTTTGATCTCAACAATTGGTCCTTGACATATTTACATCGAATTTTGAATCACTCTGTATGAACCTCACAAAACAAAATCTATTATTCGTGATCCCATTTGTTTTAGAAGGAAGAGGCTTTCTTTAGGGTCAACATTGACTTCTCTGTGGATATTCAATAGGCTAGCCCGTTTATCCTTTTCTCTCCAACCGAATTTTTTTTGGGTATGCTTTCAACCGTCGTAACGGAGGAAATAATCATCTGATGTTGAGACAGTCCCTAATGGAGGCTTTTTCTTTTCAAAAACATTGGATATAGCAATTGCCCTTCTTTTTCGTTGTTCACTCTCACTCATTGTTACCACAAATCAGCCTGAAAACAATTAAAGTAACTACTAATAAAATGGTGGAAACGATTAAAAATCATTCTATTATGACTGAACCAGACAAAGGAAACAATAATTTGTGAATTGTGGTATGTAACAGCCTTACTTTCGCGCTCTGTTAAGGACGGAGAATACTCTGGTATTTGGCGGAGGGGTCTCGGGCGCCACATTGTTAATGAGGTAGTTCACTCCACCAGCTCTGCACAGGGGTCAATGTTATTGAATCGACCTGGGATCAATAAGGAGCCAAGGGAGTGTGGGTTTAGCCTGGAATAATACTGGTTACTATTTTTGGTCTGGGTCATTACAGGAATCAAAGCAAATATCTATCGGGTCGCGGGTATTTTTAGGTTAGGCCTGGAAAATTATTAATTCAAACTATTTCATGAAGTCTATCTGGAGAATCGGAAACACAGTTCCAAACGAATTAAACAGATTCAATTCCTATTTATCTTTCCTTTTCCTTCGCTTTTCTAATTTTTCAATATCGGAATTTTAGTGAGGTAAATTATGTTTTTCCATTCATGTCAAAATTTCATGAACCACAGACCACCGCCTGACAGGACACAAAGCACAGGGACACCGGTGCACAGGACGAACGCTTTAGGGACAGATAATAAGAAGAAGATTTGACAACTGGTTTGTCAGTGTCAGCCTTCAGTCAATAATAGTAATAAGCAATTTGACAAATGAAAATATTGAAAATCGTTAAATTCAACTTTCTGGATTCGTTACACAGGTCGGGTGAGTATCGGTATGAAAAACAACAGGAATGAAATGAAACTATGAACAGGATGAACAATAATGGTGAAAAATATTATACAAACTTGCATGTGCAACAGGAAATCACTATACATTAATACTTTACACTGGCTTTGAATGAAATATGAGAACACTAGGAGATCAGCAAGATAACCCGGAGAGTGCAGAACGTAAAGCAGGTAGTGTAGAGAGCGACCCCTCGATACAGCTCCATCCTAGATTCTTATTGGTCGGAATCCTCAACTATGCCTGCAGGAACTAACATCCAAAAGCACATATTCCTAAACTGACAAATATGCGGAACAAATTAAATTTAACCCTAAATGGGCACAGGAACAGAATCTATTACCCTTGCTAATGCTACTGAATGAATTTGACTGGAGAATATCCAATAACAAAAAAGTTATGACCAGGTGAACATCCATCATTTCAACTGATGAATAATTCATCCAAATTTTATATCATAAGCAAAGGGTTGAAAAATATTGAAGTCTTTAGGGTTGTAATGATGTTCATCAGAGTTTACTATCAGGAAAATCTTTGGAAAGTCAGGAATCAATGAGTTACTCAGCTCTCTCAGGTTTTCAGGTTTCGAGCTTTCGAACAAGTGAAATTCTACTAGAATCAGTCTCAGGTACTTAGATATTAAACACAACCAGTCTAGTAATGAAGCTGGTCAAAAACACTTCAATACAGGTATTCCACAGTAAGCTTGCGACGATTCATATTTACGTTTGCCTAAAGGTAAGATAAAAGGATCAATTGAATTCGTTTTTTCTTTCGGTAGGTATAGTCAGCGTGAAGATTTGAACAATATCGATTGCTCGGGGGGAGCGTGGGGCAGCTTAGTTGCGCCTCTGGTCTTGATGCCGTATCAGTTTAAATATTGCCAACATGCGAACCGGTTTTCTTTTTTGCAGGCAAACAAACTCCCCGGCCAAGGCGTCGCCGACAAACCCCCGCAAGGCCTGCCGGGCGGCCTCGATCCCCACCTCCAGCTCCACATGGGCAACATCCTCTCCATGCAGAGCCGCCTGCCCGCCTCCAACATGGTGCCCAGCTTGCCCGCCGGTTTCACCTCGAACCTATCGAACAACATGCAGCCCGACGGATTGGCCGCCGGCATGTCAGGACTGCAGCCGCCGGTAAGTCAAATGCACGATTCAGTTTGTAGCAAAACCATTTTTTCTGTCCATCATGAGGAGTTACCTAATTTGTATACGACCTAAATGTATGTCGTCCTACCACTTTTCGTTTACCCTCGTATTTTGGAGTTCCCGCGTTTAGGAGTTTTTATATAGACGGTGTTTTTGTTGCAGAAGCGGTAAACGCCAGCATGCCCAAGGCTGTTGTTTATTTCTAGCACCCAGTGAACTTTGTACCTATTGGCTTTATGATAATTATGTGGGAGGAATTTCGCCTGGTGGTAACCACACCGCGTACAAATTTATGAATTACGGGTTGCCTAAGTGGTCCCAAAATTCCCTATGTGGGAAAGACTATACAGGGTGTTGCGAAATTCGACCGACAACGCTTGACAGGTGATAGCCCTCGTGATTTCATAATTACTGAGATAGGGACATACGATCTTCAAGTGTTCAGTTCTCGAGATACAGGGTGTTGAAGTTGAGAAACTAAAATAGTTTTTTCGCAATATCTCTAGAAACATTGGATGAAATGCATTCAAATACGGTATATGGTTTCATCTTTCAATGGTTCATTTTTTGACCAGAAAGACATTCGGAGAATGTTATCCAGAGGTGCGCTACAGGGGGTTGTGATAACTTTTCCTCCCATATTTTCTACGCCACTGATGAAATTTCGATTATTCACAATTCCTCGAATTCATGTAACAATTTTGCTCAAAAAATGCATCACCTTAAACTGAGCTGAAATGAACAGTTTTCGAAGATATTCGACCCAAAATAGAAGATTGCATGTAATAATTCATCATTTTCATATGTAGAAAATTGCAACAATATTTTTCTGGTGTTGAGTAGATTAGATACTATTCAGATCCCATTTTGTAGCTGAACTGAAATGGTTATTGCACGCATAAAGATAAAACAAACATTCTTGTAATTTTCTACTACTGAGGAAGATGAAAAATTACTATGCAAACTTATTTTGGGTCTAATATCTCGATTACTGTTCATTTCAGCTCAGTCAAATGTGATGCATTTTTTCAACATAATTGAACAACAATTCGAGGAATTGGAAATAATCGAAATTTGATCAGTGGCGTAGAAAATATGGAAGGAAAAGTTATCACAACCCCCTGTAGCGCACCTCTGGATGAAATTCTTGGAATGTCTTTCTAGTCAAAAAATGAACCATCGAAAGATGAAACCACACACCGAATTTGAATGCATTATATCCACATTTTTTTGAGATATTGCGAAAAAACTGTTTTTATTCATCAACTTCAACGCCCTGTATCTCGAGAACTGAACACTTGGTATGTCCCTATCTCAGTGATTATGAAATCACGAGAGCTATCACCTATCAAGCGTCGTCGGTCGAATTTCGCAATACCCTGTATAGGTATTTCGCGCACCTTGTCTATATCGCAAAAAGTTTGGAAAAAAGTAGTTTTTCTACTCACATAACTAAAATGGCATTTAGCGTACGGATATGTACCACGCTAAATGATCGATTAATCACGGATTGACGATCTGTGATTTATTCAAAATATTAAACACGTTACCATGGCAACACGATTTCTAAACACATTTCCATGGCAACGCAGTTCATTAAATACAGCTTCAGTAATTGGAGAGATGTCTGGCGTGTCAATTGTATCAACTGTCAACTGTTATTTTCGAATTTTGTATCAGAATTATTCAAACAATATTCGTTTGTATCAGAATTCTTCATTAAAAATATATGCGAGAGAGAGAGAGAGAACATCTTTATTAGGGATATACCCCAAAAGGCCATTGACCGAAGTCTTTCAGCCCAATATATGCGAATAGTAGACGAAAGTGAAATCGAAGAGAATGTTCAGGTACTTGCATATCTCCAAGAAGTGTAAAAATGAAGCATCCATTTTTGAGAACAATTTATTCATTCTGTGCTAAGCATGACAATAAACGTGAAACAAAGGTTAGTAAGCAATGGACTGGACACATCTACAACCAATATCACTTATAAGTGTCTCGCTGGTTGCATGCAGTTGCATGTATTATGTTCTCAATTCCGATTCCTTTCGAATTATTTTGTAGGTTTGCAGGAATTGCAGCTATGTTGATGTAATTTTCGGAGTTCGTAGAAAAATCATAATATGTAACTTGTTTATAAACTCTTCTAGACACTCGTTTATTTAACACTCGCTCCGCTCTGCTCCGCTCGTGCTTAAACTACTCGTTACTAAATGGACGTTTATAACACTTGTTACATAATATACTATTTCAAGTTCTAGAAGTTAACATTGATTTCGGATTCATAGTGAGTGCTTCTGGTCAGAAAGTGCAAAAAACAGGTTTCCTGATATTTGATCATTGTACCTATATTCATTATAGGTGAGTTTTGTGATTTTTGTACAGCCTTACTATCTAGTATAATGATTTGCCACATGATTTTGGCGAGGGCGTAATCCTAGCATAAGTATTCATTATAGCTTCCAGATAAATCTTCACCGATCAACCCTGTATATTTCATCACCGCATCGGACATCCGTAATAAAATACTCCTGAACCGGAACTCCGTACTAGAACTTTCATTTCAACCCGTGAGATTAACCCCCTATTGTAACAAGGTTTACCCGAACATAGGTATAGGCCTGAAGACCAATCAGAGCTATTTTGGGCTATAGGCGATTTAAAATAAGCGATTCGCCCTCTTACGGATATTCAAGTAACTAAGAAAAAGTACATTGAATGTTTGTTTAAATTTGGTTTCCAATCATTTTATCAAGTTTAGTGGTCATTGTAATCTTTTCAGACTTTGAATTCTTCCATATACTGGGTGTTTGCGAAATTGGGGCGATCCATGAAATGGCTGATAGGAGAATAAACTAAACACTATAATCATAATCATAAAACACAAGTAAAGTGAACCCATGGAAGAACTTCGAAGTTTCCAAGTCTTGGAGATTTATTTGCGTCGCTCTGAATTTGAATCAGTACTGGAAAGATTTGCTACAACTTCACTTTCAAGCGTATTACCCATAGGATCAGTAGTATTTTTCCCAATATTTAGCTCAAAAGTTGCCATGAACTTGAAATTTCAATATTTGGAAGAATTGACCTATTTTCAGAGCACTGTATCTCAGTCACTAATAGACCTACAGTCCTTCGGTTGGATTCGAATTGGGACAAATTTAGTTTTCTTTGTAAAAGGTGGGACTTGTTTCTTCGCTGCCACATATACTTCTCGAAATCATAAGAAGAAAATAAAGGAGCGAAAATTTCGTTGTTTTTTGCAAATATCTCAAAACGCACAAGGAAATTTTCTCGGATAATAATTTCAGATTCGGATTTAGCACCCCGAAAAATTTAGTTAACGATGATGAAACTGACTACTCGATTTCTTGCAGCGTGAAACTCCCATTTGCCTGTATTATATACAGTGTGTCCACCTCAAGGACCTACCACTTCTGTGAAATTTTCATTTTTTGATCGATCTTGATAGTACAATAATAATCCAGGAACCAAGAATGTTTCCCTTACTCCATTTCATCCAACAACCTCTTTTCAGAATTTTTATGTCATTCTTTCTTTTCATGTGATAAAGCTGAAAATCGGGTTTTGCTGACCCTGTACAATAATCAGTTCAAATTAGCTAATTTGAATATCTTTTTATGTACATTCATTGTGCACAGTTGTTAGTTGATAAAAAAAGATTATCAACTATTATAAAAACTCAGTAATAGTTTCTTCAATTCGTTCTGTAATAATCTTAGGTTGTTTTGTACTATTTTATGATTATCTCTTATTTATACACCAGGGGGGCTTGCCATTGGGGGGCATCCAGACCAACGTACCAGTCAGTATTGGCGGCAGTATTAACATTCAGAGGCCGACGTCGCACGCCTCGGTCGACCAGATGGGATCAAGTCAGGCCGAGGATCCTATTAGTAGTTTGTTGAAGCAGTTGCAGCAACAGAAGCAGCAGTCTCAACAGGTAAATTCATATTTCTTGTAGCGACTGGAATGGGGTTATACACACTAGTCGAATTTTCGCCATAATTCTATTTCATTTTGATCATTCAATGTATTAATTCATATTATTTGATATAGTCATTCATTAATTGAAATGTTCACAAATATTTGTTTTATTAATCAGAATAATCACCTCTCAAAAACGCTTGCTTGCGGTGACGTAATATACCTATTAGCACAAATATTATCTATTGCTCAACGAGCAATGAAAATATTTCCACATTCTACATAAACATAAGAATTCACTTCCACAGTGGGAGTTTACTGAAATACACGCAATTCATAGGTCGTATCATATATAATTGCAATGGATTAGTTTTGGTATATGACGGCACGCGTTGTCCCGCGTTTTTAAATGAAATTTTTCACTGAAAGGGGCCCATTAGAGCCTCATCATTGGGATCTCATAAACGGGAAGAAATACAGGGTTGGTTAAATTATGCGCAATTTTTTCATGGTCATATTTTCTTACCTACAAATTGGCCAGACATATGTTTCAATCGAAATTGCAATAATTGCAGTAAACTTGCATTTTTGATATATTGTTTGAGTCCTCTCGGACAATATTTGTACAGATATGCAGCACTCTAAAATGTACGCGGGTCTAATTATTGTCAGAAAGCCACTGAAATTATTCACTTTTTTAAGTTTTATTCCAAGAAAAAATATACATTTGAAATTTATGATGAAAGATCACTTTTGCTTCCTCTCAAGTATGCAAAATTTCCGGTAGTTTAGGTCTAATAGTTTCCAAGATATAGGGTTCCCAGAATTTGCTATTTGTTCCAAAAAGTTGAAAAATGGCCAATTTCCTACCACAATATCAGGTATAATGAGGTAGATACGAAGAAATTATTGGGAAATGAAGTAGTGGCTAATGTAAGCACCTCCTTTTCAAGAAATTCAATAAAATTACTAAAAATACTGTTTTTTTAACTTGTTACTATGCTAAGAAAAAGTCAATTCAAGTGGACAAAGGGAAATAAACAAAAATATTTATATAAATACTCAAAGCTCAAAGTCATTTCCACAAATGTTCATAAATGAACGAAAATGGTAGATAACGAGAGAAAGGCAACTACTTTCCTGGCTATATGCCACGCAAAACATTGAATAACATCCCCCCGAAATCCATACAATGATTCGTATAGACAAATAAAATCGCAATTTCAATAGAGAGGCAAATAGGGCAGAGGTTGTATCACACCGCCTGAATGCATGAAGGCAAAGTACAATGCATAACTTCATGTATTAATTCTTGCGTGAAAACCTCATTTTACCTGATATTTCGGTCGAAAATTTTCCCATTTTTCAACACTGGAGAAAATAACAAATTTGGTGAACCCTGTATCTTGAGAGTTATTAAACCTAAAAAACTAAATTACAGTTCAAAATGTCGGGACTTTTGTATACTTGAGAAATGGTATAGTGACATTTCTCTTCAGAGCCTTTGCATGTGTATTTCTTTGCATAAAACTAAAATAAGTTAAAAAATATAGCGGTTTTTCAGCAATAACTCAACCCGCGTACATTTTAGAGTGCTGCAAATCTGAAAAATACTATTTGAAGAGACCCAAACATATCAAAGCAAGCAAGTTTACCACAATTGAAGAGAAGACCTGAATGAGGTTTGGAGGAAACCCATGGTAACTCAAAGTGGAGTGGTGTAGTCGTAACGGAACATGTTTCGGGCTTATACAAGGTGAATCTGGAAGTGAGGTTTTTTATTCAACAGGGTATATATCCGTTACCACCGATAAAACAAGGCCAGCAGACTCTGACGTAAACAGCTCGTGACGTCGCATACTCAGGCCTTCTTCCAAAGCATTCGCGTCGATCGATCGTCAGTTTGTTTTTGTTTAAGAACGGTGGCGTAGGTAAATCGCGTGTCGTGTGCTTGAATTCTCTTGTTGTTTATTCATCAAAATAATTGGCGGAGAAATTACTGTTTTGTGAAATATTTCGTGTTGTGATAGGCGAAATAACAATGCCTTACAAGTGTTGTGTTCCCTTTTGTCGGGGGAATTATGTGGGTGGTCCAAAATTTCATGCTTTTAGTTTTCCGTTGGACAAGGAACTATCGAAAAAGTGGGAACATGCAATTCACCGCAAGGATTTTACGACTCCATCTAAGTACAGTAAAGTATGTGAATTACATTTTACTAAAGATGATATCATTACTTCATCTACTGCAACCGATTCAAAAACTGGCAAAACTGTAACAATAGATTTGAAAATTCCTAGGCTCAAACGAGATGTTATTCCCACTCAATTTCCCAACTGTCCCATCTTATTTATCGAAAGATGTAAAATTACGCACAAGTCGTGATGAAAAACTTGAGATACTAGAGACTAAAAATTTGGCACAAGCACTTACCAAAAGTAATCATTTTGCTACACAGAATTTCAAGAATTTCTAGTTGTATTCAGGGTTGAAAAAAAAACATGTATTTTTTAATTTTATACACATGTTTTTTTTGTTTCAAACGATTTTTTTTGTTTTAAACGGTTTTTTTTGTTTTAAACATTGTTTTTTTTTTGTTTCTGGATTTTATGATTTAAACAAATAAAACTTAGAAAAAGACATTGTTCAAATCAAATTTTTTCAAACATAATATTAATTCAGAGATTAATTCAAAATGTTTGATATAATAATCTTTAGTATTAGTCCACTAAATAATAGATTCCTTATTTGAAGTCAGACTCTGTATTACTAAACTAAACTGTCGCGATCAGCTGTGTTATGAACGTCGCGCCATCGCTGTGAGGATGTGCCGCGGTGAATCCCCGAAATAAGAAAACCAATTGCGATGAGGACTGTTGGCCAGGAGGAACCACAGACCATTTATAAATTCGCATTGCCAGTGGGCTATACAGTGTGTCCAACTTACCATGCTCACCATAGGTATCTTTTCAACGGTGAGAGATACGAGGTCGGTTAAATGACACCAAATGTGGAGTTTTGTTTTGAACAAAAACTGTTTAAAACTTGAGCACATGTTTAAAACATGTTTATAACAGTTGATTACAACATAATGTTTAAAACAAAACAACCCTGGTTGTATTAGAGTCTTTTCAGTTGCCCGAAAAGTGGTTCAAAATTATCGTTTTGCAAAAAGTCACATTATTCAAATTGTCTTATTCTCCAGGGCCCGTAATTACATATTCGGTTGTGATTGATTTTGTTATCAATGTGAAATCATTTTTGTATGACCTAGCGATACAAACATCTCTAAAAGCCAATCTGAAAACACATTTTATCTCTAATAATATCAATCAAATCAAGGAATTACTAATTGAAATAGATAAAAACGAGATACATAATTCGGGAAAATGTCTTGATAATCAGAAAAAAAGGGTTTTGAAACATATTTCGAATGCATTGGACTCTTTGGTTTCTGACTCGGTTTCAGATCTTGATGAAGATTCCGAAAACACTTCAGCTTTATTGTTCCTCTCTGAGCAAATTAAATTACATGCATCCTGCAAAGAACGATATCGTTATTCGAATAATACTATAATTTTAGCCTCTATAATTCATACAATAAGTCCACATGCTTATAAATTTTTAAGACATTTTGGAGTACTCATATTACCTCATTCAGGTACAGTCAAATCGATATGTAGTTCGTTGTTAACAGATCCTACATTCGAAGAAACACAAATGTCGTTATCTCATGCAGAAAATGTATTTAAGTTATTAGGTGAGCGTGAAAAATATGTCATTTTAATGATGGATGAAGTTCATATAAAGCCATATTTAGATTACAAGGCAGGCATGTAGGAACGGCATTTAATAATTCATGTTTAGCAAATTCCGCATTTGTCTTCATGATAGCAAGCGTTATGTCAAATGTGAAAGAAGTTGTTCATATAAGTCCAACATCAGAAATAGATCACCTCATGATTTTTTCTTTAATAAAGAGAGTCATAAATAGATCAATCTCACGATAAGTTTATGTTCTGCGGGCCCTGTATAAGTAGGTGTGAAGTTTACCTTCACCACAATTTTTGCCAATATATTTAATTCGAATGGGTTGCTGTAGGTGGATATTTGTGTTTTATCCTGGTTTTTGCTTTGAAACTTCGTTTTTCCATAATAAAATCGAATGGGATGCGATGAAGGGCTTTGATTAGTGTTTCTAGTGATGGACTAATAATGGATTTTTTTGCGTTTTTTTGAGAAAATGTAAAGAAAACGTTTCATAGTTGAAGTCTTCTTCAAACCATCAAATACCTGTACCTCCGTTATCTTAAATATTTTATATGACCAATTTTATGCCAAATAACTTATTTTGATGATATATCCTGTTGAAATAAAACCTCACTTTCATATTCAACTTGTATAAGCCCATCATCAGCCAATAGAAAGTATGATATGTTTAGAAAAATCGGTATTGACTTAGGATATAGATCCAATAGGTTTGAGAAATATTAAGGAACAAAGTGGAAAACTTACTGTCTGTAAAATGATGTGGATATATTTATTATTATAAAATTTATTTGAAACGGTCGGGTTCAAATTTTACAAGTGCCCACGTGTCCTTGAATGATCGAAAGGTGATAATTAAACATTAAACTTGGCGTCGTTGTTTATGTTTATATCATAAAAAATAGTGATGATCACCTAACTAATAAAACAACTATAAACTGTAGAAATAGACTAACGAATAACTGGAGACCAAAAATCGACGCAAGTTAAACTCATAAACAAAAACAAACATAACCACAATATAAGAACAGCTATCGGGGTGCCTGTTAGTATTTTGTGTAATCTGTAATCTGCAACTTTCCTAAAAAATATATCCGTTCCATAAAGGAATAGATGCATTTGCAAAATAATGACTGACAAGTTATGATTAAAGTGAAAAATTATAATACATAGTATTGCAAAATATTGTAATGAACCTTCATTAGTAATCAACTTCAGCCAGCAAATGAGAGATTTATGAAAATCATTTATAATACTCAGCGAAGTAGGATTAAAAATTTATTATATCCCATTGCTGTTATGATATTATAGTTATAATGTATTCAAAGAACAGTTTCTGGAATTCTACACATTTTGATGAAGTAGTGCAGGTGCAAAACTGGTGCAAAACCAGTGCACCACCAGGTTTACAAATGGAACTCGCTATCAGATGAAAACCTCAAAATTGGAAACTACAACATTCAACCAGAAAGCAAATGAATTGCTCATTACTGTTTCAACATTCCGTTCGTTTTGCACGTTTCAGGCGGATTCCCTCTGGCAGCAGAACTCGTTCCCTTCCAACCATTCTCCTCCGCAATGGCAATCTCAAAACGAAATTCCAATGTCGATGTGGGATATCCAGAACAGCGGCACGCCTTCACCTATTCTAACGCCATCGGAAAAACTACAACAGGCCATCCAAGGCAAAAGTAATGCAATAAAACCCGACAAACCCAAGGAAATCAAGAAAGAAGAACCTTCCGCTAAAGAACTGAAGAAGAAGAAAGAGTTGGATGAAAAGCAGGCGAAAAAAGATGCAGAAGAGAAACGAAGACAGGAACAGAAAAAAATTGTAAGTCAGTAATAATATTCCAGGAAGTTGGGTATGAGTGATACTCTTCCGTTCTGAATCAAGGTCACTTTCCCTAATGCTTGGTGATGAATTGAAGATAACTAGAAAAACTAATATTTTCGTAGATCAGTGTACAATTGTCAGGTTGTGTCAGTTCTGTTCGTGTGTCGACAGTATAAATGGAAAAATAGACATAATTGAATATTTACACCCCATCATACTTTTTGTCACATATTTATGAATGAAAAGTTTCATTTTCTAAATGATAGCTTGAGTTGATCATAACATCAACCTCCTTGAGTGCAGACTGAACCTGATCTTTTTGTCTAGAACATGACAACTGGATCAATGATGAATGAGTTCAGTTTTATAATGTTCAGTTTCACTTTGATCATTTCAGTTACAGGGCAGAGAATAAAAGAATATCACTGAGAAAAGCGCAAATTTCCACGACTTTTTAATTCGAAAATATCAAATTAGGGACATGTCCATCTTCAGCCTATGCTAAGAAGTCCTACAATAAAAGGAGATACATCATAAAATGAATGAAATAGTTATTTATACACCAAGGTAGTAAAACATTTCAGTATTACCCAGGGACCAAGATTATATCCCAAGGCATCAGCCGAGGAGTATAAGGTCCAGTGGTAATATTCTTTACTACCAAGCACTAGCAACTACTACTAGCAATCATTTCAGTTCTGTGAAACTAAAATATGAACCTATTCTAGTCATGGTGACGACAGCATAAATGACAAGTCGTTATTGATGAATACCAACTAGATTCGAGTGCCATTAACGCAAATCTCACACCAGAACAGTGAATTAGGGTTAATTATAAGAGAAGTAGCTATGTCTTGACTAGTGGTTAATAAAATGACGAAAACTACCTTGGTAGTAAAAACGCGCTTTACGCCTCGAAAAGGAGTAAATAATGGTAGGTTTTATAGGTACTGGTGGAAAAACATTTTTGACATAGATCGTACTCATGTGGATATGGAAAGGTTATGTTACATTTTATAAAAAATAATGACAGAGCAATAGGGGTTTTGAGGGATCCTAACACTTCTAACGAATTATGGAGGACGACAGTGAGGCTCAATAAGCAGCACATGGCTATTGTTAAGGGCGATAAAAATTCAGCTTGCTTCCAGAACGTCATTTTGTGCAGGAGGAAATGTCAAAGGTTGGCTCAATGCAGAAGGGCATGTGGCCACTATTTCATTTGACAAATCCTTTTTTAATTTGTACTTGAGATGAAATACAATATCTGGAAATATGGTTAAAAGGTAAAAGAGAATGCACTTGCAACGGCTTATCATATGGTTAAGTTGAAAAACAGCTATATAGCTGACACTTTGCCTTTTCATCATTTGTTCTTCTTATTTCACTGTTCTCTATTTTGTATGTAGAAATTATAATGATGAATAAAGCCGCTTTATTATTATTATTATATTGTCTAAATTAGTCTCATGCGACTGGAATAATTATAAATTTTCCATAACAGTGAGATATCTTAGTAATTCTACTTTCCCGCACTCGGTGCGGAAAAAAAATGTATGCTCACGGCGTATGGAAAAGTGTAAGCAGAAAAAGTACACAGGATTCACAGAAATGAAAGAACTTGAAGCTCATGGGGAGCATATATATTTGATCTCCTCAAACATTTGTTTTTTGTTTTTCATTTTCCTATCTTTTTGTACCTTGAATAAAGTTTGGAATTTTTGATAATGTTCGGGCCAATCTGAAACGATAAAGATATTATCTTTGTTCTTTTGTTATTTTTCAAACAGATAATTCAGGCAAACTAAGCAAACTAACAAACGCAAAAAAATCGGAATCATTATGTGAAAACATGCCTGGTTTTATCCTGTCATATGTCCGTTATTTTTTGACGGATTTGCATGTTTAATCTCTTGTTCTGTCCACGCTCTCAGATTATCACACGCAAAAATATACAGTGCGATTCAAAAAATTCCCATCAGTTTTTTTTTAATTCGGTCTAGTTTAGGTGTGTCCGCTCTCCGCCATTTCGTTTTATGTAGAAATTAAAAAAATACAGAGTTGTCGTTTTGTCTTGTTCAATTCTCTTTCAAACAAGACCAAAATCGATTAAATTGGTCCATTAATTAAGAAGGTATTAATCGAAAACAAAACTCCGGTTTCTTTGGACAACCCTATATAATTCGAAAAACAAATCGTGGAATAGCGTTGAAAATTAAAAAAGGCTAAGGTGCATTGAACTCTTTTGAATTTGCACAGTCTTCGCCTATAGTAATAAATACTCCACGTAAAAGTACTGATCTTGTTTTTTGCCAATCGCACATTCTGCTAAATAGTTCATAAATGAAACAAACAGCTAATTTATTGAAAAACAAACTCTCTAAAGAGTTTCCCTGACCTTACTCAGTAGGCTAAGAAGGAAATCGTAACCGGCAAAAAAGTTTCAAGAACTGACAAGTGGGGAATGGCACACCCCAGTCTACTTGATGTGCTCTCTTGAAGATGCGATATGTGACTGCCGTTGGTGCGTAGGTGCAAAGGTGAATATTCCATTGAAGGCTATTATGAGGCGCAGGCGCGAGAACTCATGTTTCACAAAATTTTGTGAGAGTTTTCGGGTGTTGGGGTGTGTCACACCTCACGTCATACGCCGGGTGAAGAAAATGTCTTTCAAAAAAAAAAAAAAATCATTTATTGTCCAAACAGGAATATACCTACTTAGAGGACAGATTCAAAAAAATATATACAATGTTTGTTACAATAATGTTACAATATAACATGAGTAATGCGATCGCGATTTCATTTAAGGTGCCAAGAAGTAAATAGAGTTGAAGTATAGATGGTGAAATACTTATATTTAAAATATCATTGACAATATTGTTAAGATTTGTGATAGATCGGGTTAACTAGAATCGTATGTACTGATATAGGTAAACAAAATTGTGTTTGAATCCATTCGAAATTAATCTTGATTGTTCAGTAGTATACATTTGAGTTGATTTTTAAATTGGCTTAAGGAATGCGAATACAATTGTGTCGTGCTACAATATTTGTTGAATTCATTACACATAGAGTATATTGGTGAATTGGCCGATACATTAGTTCTAGGTGTATTGAGGTAAAAACATATCTGATTTCTAGCATTATGTCTTGGTACATGAAAATTAGTTGGGATAATAATTCAGGACAATCAATCAGGTTATTGACTAGTTTGTACAAAAAAATGCATGAGTAATATGTTCTACGGCTTTCTAGAGATAGGAAATTGAAACGTTTCAGTAGAGCATAGTTGTCAAAGCCTTGATTAGGATATACTCCATCTAGTTTCCATGACATATACTTCATAATGATTCTTTGGACCGACTCTATCTGTTGAATATGTGTGTTGTAGTATGGTGACCAGATTAAAGAACCATATTCAAGTTTTGACCTAACATAAGCCACATATAGTGCTTCGAAGCATTTGATACGAAAAATTAAGATTGTCGTTAAAGTAAACTCCTAGATCCCTGATGTTGTCCTCCTGCTGGAGGGGAATATTGTTTATGGTGTAATCGAAGTATATAATATTATTTTTTAGCGTAATTGTTATATATTTACATTTTTGTACATTCAGTGGTAATTTGTTTGTCTCACACCATTCATTCAGTCTATTCAAGTCCTGTTGAAGTAGTTCACAATCATTTGAGGTTTTGATTGATCTATAGATTTTCATATCGTCTGCAAATAAAAGCATATTGCTACTAGTGACATCGCAAATATCATTTATGAATAGTGAGAAGAATAAGGGTGCCAGGTTACTTCCCTGAGGAGCTCCGCTTGAGACTTTGAATTCATATGATCGGTGGCCTCTGTATTCAACGTATTGTATACGATTTGCAAGGTAGGATTTGATGAAGATCAATAAGTTTGTGTCAAATCCAAAGTAATCTAGTTTCTCGAGAAGCAGGAGATGATCAAGTTTGTCAAAGGCTTTCGAGAAATCTGTGTGTATTACATCAAGTTGAGAGTTGTCGTCTATTGTATTACATGCCACTTGAGATAAGCACATTAGATTTGTTATTGTTGATCTTTTTGAAATAAACCCGTGTTGTTCAGTATGTATCAAGTTTCTTACTTTAGGAAATATTCTATTATATATCGATATTTCGAAAGCCTCTGCAAAGTTTGCAAAGCTTTCAGATACAGTTGTACGAAAATATTGTCTTTATTGTAAAAACTGAAAAATAATAATCTTGCTTTCTTCAAGGAAGCAGATAGGAAAGCTGCGGAAGAAAAAAGAAAAAAAGAGGAAGAGCGAATCAAGAGGGAATTAGAAAAGGCTAAAAAGGAAGCTGAAGAAAAAAGGATGAGGGAGCTAGAAGAAAAACGCAGACTCAAAGAACAGAGAAAACTAGAGGAGGAGGCCAAGAAAAAAACAGATGAACAGAGGAGAATGGAAGAGGAGAAATTGAGGTAGGTCTAATTTTACCTAATTTGTACTAAGGAACGTCTAAGTCTAGAGCCAAACAGGGCACAAATATACATTTGGAATTGGAATCTGTGAGATAATAAAACAAATTATGACTAGAGTATATTCAAATTCAATTCATTTTTGAACAATTTTGAAGGTGTTTATTCCATGACTTTGGGAATATAATTAAAATGAGAATAATTTTTCAAGTTGATTTTTCTTCCTCTTGTATTTTACGAGTGGTCAACAGCATTATTGCAATTGTATGTGAATTTCGAATCATACATACATCATATACCTGGAGATTATATCGATTTGTATCCAGGCAGGAGTTACAAGAGAGAGAAAGCAGAAGACATGACGAGGAGAAGAGGCTACAGCAGGAACAGATCCGGATGGCGAAGGCAGCTCCTTGGTCCCAGCCGAACGCCAATTCGGGCATGAGCTTGACAGAAATTCAGAAAGCCGAAAAGGAAAGAAAAGCTATCGATCAAGCCATACAGATACAAAGGATGCAGGTAAGAGTGGGACAAAGTGTACGGTTTTTTGAATAAGTGGACTGTAGTAGGTTTTAGAATGAATTTTACTCGCACAGTGCCTTTTACTACCTTTGTCGCTGTTCGAGGAACATCGTGAATACCTCAATGAACTCAATATAAACACCTGCAAGGGACCCTCTGTGAACGATGAGTGAGGCGAAAATATTGTTCAGGCAACCCGCAGTGTTTACGGATACCTATCTCTATCTTATGTTGGCTAATGGGACGCGCTCGCATTATTCGAAATATTTTCTCGTTTTTTGCTTTTATTTAAGGCTATACGTGATTAAATAAAAATATTCGTATAGAAAAAAGAAAAATGATGCAATCAATTATCATTAAAAAACTATTATTGATTTTTTTATTGACTTGAAAATGAAATTTCATTTTTATTCTTACATGATTAGGAAGTTAAATGAATACAAAATTGAAATTATATATTTTCATTCTAATGTCACAATATATTGTACAGGGTGAGCGAAGCACAATGTCTCAGCACTATCAGAAGATGAAGAAAAACGATAGGAAAAATTTTGAAAGGCGGTTCTTGAATGGTATTGAGTACCTAAGGTCCATTTTGAGCATAATTTCCATAGACTCTTATTTTTCCATTAGGTCACTGCCTACAAACATACCCCTATTAGGAATTGAAAAAATACAATTCTCAATACAATATCCTTCTGCAATGGAACAGTTTGGATTTCTTTATTGATGAATAAGTGTCCTCCCAACATGTGTAAATCAAATCGAACATGTAATGTACACAGATGGTCCGAATACCCCTCTTGGAGTTGGAGCCGGTGTGTTCAGCAGAAAACCGAAGACGGAAATCTCAGTCTATCTCGGTAAGTATGCTACCATCTCCGCAATCGAATTGTGTGCTAGAGAGTTGACGAATAGACCTCTAGTAAACAAAAACATCAGTATTGTATCAGATAGTCAGGCTGCAAGCAAGATAAATTCCAAGTTTGTATGGAACTGTATTGAATTCCTAGAATGCCTGGGTGCTAACAACAGAGTCACTCTGCTGTCGGTGCCTGGATATCAGTGGGTGGAAGGCAACGAGACAGCCGACATCCTTGACAAACAAAGAACCGAATCTGTGTTCATAGGACCAGAACCATAAATTGGGGCCCGCGCAAGTACGGTCAAAACAACTATCTCGGACTGGGCGGATGGAAAAAGACTAACGCACTGGTCTGAATTACCAGGATTAACCAATTCGAAGGCGTTCCTGCCTAAACCAACGAAAGAAAAGACCAGGCAGATCCTGACAGGGCTGCTTACGGGACACTGTCGTCTAAGACATCACCTAGGAAGGATGGGTCTGAACCAACAAACGGACTGTCGGTTCTGCTGTGTGGAAGACGAAACGGCTGAACACATACTATGTTCATGCTCTTGCTTAGAGAGACCAAGGTTCGACATATTTGGCTTTACCAATTTAGAACCTATGGATTTTAGACGAATCTCACCTCCTTCAACTATGGGCTTCTAAAAAGTAGTGTATTGTATAGTGAACTGTAACCTGTAAGGGTGAGCCATAATAGACCCATCTGGGGTCGCAGTGGAGGGATGATATTTGCCCCACTCACATGAAACCTAACCTAATATAGTCGTCGATGCTCTCTGAAGAACGGTAAGGCAAGGGAGGATCTATTGGTTGCTTCTTACATAGTTGAAATTTGAAATTCAAGGTGAAATTATCAAATATTACGTATTTGTGATACTGTCAACTGTACAACAGTAACTAAGTATTTAAGAATTATCGTTTGTGTATTATTTGATGTTGGCATTTTAGATCTCGACGAATATATCGACGAAATAAATTCCCAATTTTCATGTAACACTGAATGACTTCATGAATCCGTCTCTTCTACTTAATTGCACATTCACTTGGTTCTTCCATATATTCATTAATAGATTTAAATGAAAAACTACAAAATGAATAATAGAAGGGGATATGATAATACTCAATTCTGAGAGATACGTGTTTTGAGAAAACGTTGGCATAGGCTTCATAACAAAACAATCTTGCACGTTGAATATAGGTCGGTCTGAAACACAGAATATACTTATGCATTTCACTCTCGGAGTTTTGAGAACAAGAGCTCCTGAGTGGCGCTCATGTTTTGAAACCATCTCAATGTACTTCACGTACATATGAGAGATGGATTTTTGATCGAATATAAATTTCTAAGGATATCATTTTGATCTCACTTGGTTTTTCATTATACTTGAAATTTTGAAAAGGAATATTCTCATATATTATGAACATGCAAAAAATGGAAACAAAGAAATACATTGAGAATTCGCATTATCCATCTAATGAAAATATGAATTATTTTTCGTCATATTCAACAAAAAAAACCACTTTCATAACTATATACGTCACGATTAAAATTGAATTACATCTGTTGACCACACACGACAAGAATTTGAAAATAAAAATATTCTGAAATTGAGTGATTGGGTTTTTCCATTCAGAATTTTCCACACCCTGTGTGATGAGAACATGAATTCATCGTACAATTGACATACTTGATATGTTATTTTCATTATAGGAAAAGGAATATCAGCAACAGCAGGCACAACCAGAGAAACCCCTTAGTGGTATTCAGCTGAATTGGGCTAATAAGCCTGTCGAAACGAGAAAAGTGAAATCCCTGGCGGAAATACAAGCTGAAGAGCAAGAAAGATTAGCAAAGGTATAGTTTTCTGAAAATGAATTGAATAAGTTCCATATGAATTTATTTGAATTTGACAGCAAGTTGCTGAGTCTCGTCTCCAAAAAGAGAAAGAACCGGCACCCGTGACAAATAATGCCGGTAATATTTGGAATGGCCAAAATCTGACATGGTCTAGTCCCCCGCCAACAAATTCCCAGTGGCTACCGAGTTCTGGTGAGTAAATTCCATAATACTAAACAACTCAACACTATGCATGACCAATCGAAATTTTTTAATCAAATTCGAATCAGTGCAAGCAATTTCCAATTTTGTTTCAGTCCTGAATGCTCCTTACATAAGTTAACAAATCTATTGTTGTGATTCATTGCAGCGACTCAGAGATATTTACTACAGGATAATATACAGGGTGTCCCAGAATAACGTTCATATACTCCGGGAGGTAATTCTGCAGATAAAAATGAAAAATGTTTCTATCAACATGTGCCGAAAATGCGTCCTGAAGGCCGTGTCTCACGTTCCAACAATTTGATCAAATTTATTTGATGTGAAGTCATTCTTGCCTGTTTGACTCAAATTTTTTGAAATGTCAAGAAATCTTTGTCACACGATTTGAAGATTTTTGAACAAAAATATTGGCTCTTTAGAATGGAAAAAATCACAAGGAAAAATAAAATAAAAATTCATTATTTTGTATTGTATTTGTAATACAAAGTGATTTGAAAAAAGAGGGAGATATGTACAAGATAATAGCCTCAAAGAAAAAATATTGGTAGAGGAGTCCTACCTATGATTTTTGATGTAGTCATACTGGAAGATTACCCATAGTAAATTTCAAAACTACCTAAGAATCGTTGGGAGATGTTTCAGATTTTTATCAATCGATATATGCGCGTGAACGAATACCTGCAGAAATGAGGTGAGATCATAACAAAGTCTCTAGTCAACAAAGCATAAATTTGTGATTGAAGCAAGACAAAAATATTCCAATAATTATCCGAAATGGTCCTCAGTCCAATTACCAGGACAGACATTTTTGAAGTATTGATAATATTAATGATAGTAGGTATTTCTTGTTAATTACTAAGATATAAAATAATAATGAAGAATATATGAGAACAAACATCCTAACCTTAGTGTTTGATCCAACATGACAACAACAACAACAACAGAAGAAGCTCTGAATTTCAGCTGCTGTTTGACGTGACATCACTGATGACATCACAGATCTGTAGTTTGATTAAATTTTTGGACCGTGAGACACAGCCTTAAGGGTCCTAGAGCAGTTTGAAGGTAGGTCTTTAAATGTTGATTTCTTCTATTATCTTTGTTAGCAGTGATTCCAGAATCACGAAATTTGGTAGCCTAGAGTGATTCGATCTTACGAATGGTTTCGTGGAACGGAAAACATGATCTAATATACAGGGAGGTGCGAAACTCGTTACCGATGTTATAAAAATGCCCCAAGTGTATGATGAAAACACTTGGGGCAGGCATTATTGCTATGATTATTCAAACACTTCACATGAAAAAGCTGTTCTTGTTATAATGCCAGTAAACGATCTGTTTTCGAGAAAAGGGAAAAGGGTCATTTTTCATTTTGATGCCCAAAAAAATTCACCTAGTTAAGTTTGTGAAATTTGTCAATTTCCATTGCGGATATTTTATCAACAGATCAACATCACGATTAACCCTATAATAAAAATAGAGTTCTAATTTTTTTTATCATGAGAGCACACGCTCAAAATTATTTTGCATTTTTTCGGACATCTAAATGAAACACCCATCGAAAATGGTTCCATTTTAGGCATTCTAACAAGAACACCTTTTTCATGTAGGATCATTTGGAACAAAAAAACTTGGGAAATTTGTATCTGTAGGGTAGCATAGTCTACGAGTTTCGCACCTCCGTGTATGTTAAATCATGTTTTCCGTACCAGGAAACAATTTGTAAGATCGAATCACCCTTCGATACCAAATATCATACTCTAGGATCAATGATAACAAAGAGAGTTGAAGAAATCTGCATTTAAGGACCTATTTTCAGAGGGCTCTAGCGACCTTAAAAGCATTTTCGAACACATTTGGATAGGAAGATTTCTTCTTATTTTCATCTATTGAATTACCTCCCGGGGTATTTTTTTCATCTCTTGAAGCGCAGAAAATAAAATTCCTATAATGTTCATGGAACATCGTAAGAAACGTTATTCTGGGAAAATCTGTATAATACTGTGCAATATCTAAAAAATCAAAAAAGCTCTCCTGAAATGTGATATTTTGTTTCGGAAAAAATGCATTTAAGGTCTGGTTTTCATAGATTTACGAATTTTCTGGTGCAGATGTTGAAAATGAAGCATACTTATCATAGTTTTATTTAGATACAGAGTGGTCATCAGCATATGATAGTGCCATTGAATTCGGAAATGATAAACAAACTTTTTCACAAACCTTTCATGAACAAGAAGGAAGGTTAAGCAATTCTTATTATGGAGATAATGATTTTAGAACCCATAATATTGCCCTTCCGATTTTAACTTCAATGAAGTTGAAATATTCAATACACTGGGTGTATTGAAAAAAAATGTGGTTAAGGTTTTAGAGCAATACGAGTTGATTCATGACTTTTATTCATACTAAAAGTTCGATGCTGGGGAAGGGGGAGCTGGTTGACACATACGAGCCAGCCACCTGAAACCTGTACCAGTATGTAATGATAGCGTGTTAAGCGCGTTTGACCGATTTTAATATTTCGTGTATATCGGGAATAGAGTCGAAAATTGTCAATACGACTTTTATACTCCGCAGGAACAGGGACATTCACTAGCCATACTATTTGAGGCTTAAAAAAATGATAATTCATGTTTATTGTAGATTTCAATAAATTATTGTAAGTAGAATTAAGGCAAGTCACTGTTAGCTCAGTTTATTGGACGAGGGTTCAAATCCCTGATTTTAATGTTAATCGTATCGTTTGTAAATGTTCTCTACAAATTGTTTATAATCAAACGATTTTTCAGCTGGTTTCTGGGACGATTCTTCCAGCAGACACGTATCAAACAAACCGTCCTCAGTAACTAAGAGTAATTCTACTAGTACCTTAAGCACAAACGCTAAACAAGCGCAAGCTCCGAAACAACAACAGCAAGCGCAAAAACAACAATCGAAACAACAGAATAGCAAACCTAGGAAGGAAGAGCAGGGCAAAACCAATCACAACAACAATAACGGACCATCGACAGACGAATTCACCGATTGGTGTTTCAATACATTATCTAATATCTCCACGAATGTAGATAGTAAGTAAACTTATCAAAATATTTATGATAGTCATGCATAACTGGTCTCAATTTCGAATTTTCAAAAAGGGGTAATAATTATACTTGTACATTACAGACTGACTGACTGACTGACAGAAAACGCCCTGAGACAACGCATCTATCAACTATCCGATTTTGAAAAACAAAAACGCAAATGAAAAAACCCCTCAGATACTATGAGTAGGCTCTGACCATTATTTTTTTCGAATTTTAACTGTAACGTCAGCGACTACTTCAATCAATGAACGCCCAAAAGGGGGTCTAGAGGAAATGGAAGAGGACATTTTTTTCAGACTAGATATGTTCGAAGTAATAGGAAGTGAAAATTTCAAAAGTCCAACCTACGAGGGGAGCCAAGGGCAGGGACATAAAAGGTCCTTTTTTTGAATTATGGTTCATATCATGAATTATGATTCATATCATGATTTATGGATCATATCATGAAAACGGAACGTCACAGCAAAAACAATCTGTTCAAAATTGTAGCTGATACAATTATCTACAAAACTTTATCAGTAGTTTTTTTTCCGTATTTTTCATTGTTTCATGTAGATTCAATTTTTCTGAGCTGAGAATTTTACAGGAAAAATATTAACAGTTAGTGGATTGGACGTCCTCATTTCGAATCCGGAGTGATTTTCAACTTATCTTTCCTTCTAATATCATTTTCACAATATATCACTGAAGATGACTCCACTTGGTCATAGTGTGTATTATCGGTATATTTCCCGCTCCTACAAATATCAGAAACCTAACTCAACAATTACGAAAGATGCAGGGGTGCTTACATTAGGAGTGAGACACACTATATAAGTATATACTTGAAAAATGCATGTGACTCCTTTGTTACTTCTTCGACGAAGACTGGTGAAAAACTGAAGGTTGAGCCGTCAAAATACACTAGATGAAAAAAGCGATTTTCAAAAATTCACATGAATCGCTAGCGAATATCTCGAAAACAATGGATGATACGGAAAAAACCTACTGATACAATTTTGAAGACAATTTTATCGGTTATAATTTCGAAAAGATTGACTTTATTGCTGTGACGTAACGTTTTCAAGATATGAACGATGATTCAAAGAAAGAGGCCTTTCATGTCGCCTCTTGCACTTGGCTCCCTTCGTAGGTTCCGTGACTTTTGGAATTTTTTCTTCGTATTTACTCCGAATATATCCCTAGTCCCAAAAAAATCTCTTCCATGTCCTCTACAACCCGTTCATTGACTGAACTAGACATATGTTTTTCGATATATTTTTTATCGATTTTTTTTTCTGAATACAGTGATGTATGACAAGTTGACTTTTGGCCAAAATTAGTTGAAATGAAAAATAAATTCCTAATTGATATGAAATGTTTTTGAAAATCGGATCATTAATAGCGGCGCTATGGCATCTTGGCGCTTATTGTCAGTCACCTTGGATATTTTTGTCGGAGACAAATATATTTTCGTGTTCTTTCAGTTCTTTTTATTGAACCCAAAGAGGAAGTGGTGGTGATAACTTTTCAATACCTCGCCAAATTGACACATTTCCCGGCTGCTAAGTGATAGTAGAGTGACAATCAAATCCTATAGGGGAACTAAGTTATATTAAGTGATACATGATGATATGATGTATATGAAGAACAATTCAATGAAAATTCACAAAATTCGAGTCACAGCTGATTGAAATATAATTTCCTCATATATCGTGATGTAAAATATACATTTTTTTTAAACTACCCCCAAAACGCCTGGACCATTATTTGACAAGTGGATCCGAAATCCGGAGGTGGTAGGTAAGAATTCCAGCCATGTTACATCTTTTTATCTCTGATGTCCCACCAATTTTAGCGACTTGCGATACGTTTGGCACTCTACTATAAAGAACGCACCGTTTACAAATATTTTCACAAATACAAACGTTGGTAGAACCTTCAAAAGGAAGCTACACACAGCGGTTTCTATTAGGCCTGAACTGGTGGAGTATCTATGCACTCAGTGTATATTTATCCTTCTTTTTGACATGTAGTAGAATGAGAAATGTATACACTGAGTGTGCACTAGTTTTACCAATGGAATCCGCTAACAGTGTTATTCGCGGTAGCCAAGGTCAATCATCTGACGTTGCGATGATACAAAAACTACAGGAAAACATACCTAACTCTTGGCTTAGATTGGGAGTTAAACATGATTTCCTTTAGTTTTTATGCCATCTCAACGTCAGTTAATGACCTTGGCCTACCGCGAATAAAGGAGTTTCCCGTTTTAACGAATCATAAAACGCTTAACCTTTCACATGAAAGCAACTGATATACGTATTTTTCATTTCTTTTTCAGTTCCGACATTTGTTACTTTTCTACGAGACATAGAATCCGCTTTCGACGTCAGAGAGTATGTTAAGGAGTATTTGGGCGAAAGCAACGCCACACACCAGTTCGCCAGCAATTTCTTAGAAAAGAGGCGCTCGTTCAGACCCAGAAACAATGCTCACAAGGACGACATGTGTTCTCCCGCTCCTGCTATTACCCCATCCTCGCAACATAGTACTGAATTCCAAGAGGTTAAGGTAAGCAATTATAATCAGTAGTAATACTATAAGTACTTCATACATCGATAGTTCGTTGCATAGTTACAAAGAGTGTCAGTTTGACAGTTGAAATAATCCGACCGCGAAGCGGGAGGATCATTCTGTTGAACTGACACAATTTGTACTTGTGCAGGAAGTTCGAGAGATGTATTACCTTGAAGATTCTGAAGTTCGACTTGTATTCGATGCGATTATTTTTTGAGTAGTTCTGAACATACGCAAGAATTTGACGACGCGCTTTGTTTATATGTAACAATATTTCTGATTGGTGCAACTACTCTATGTATATCCACGTATATTTGAAGTTCTGATTGGTTTAAAACCATATGAAGGAAATAATCAGTAGTAATACTATAAGTACTTCAAACTATTCGGGTTGAACAGTTGAAATAATTATTCTGTTCAACTGATACGATTTGTAATTATGCAGGAAGATTGAGATGTATAACCATGAATAGTTTCAAGTTCGAATTGTATTTGATGTGATTATTTTTTGATTAGTTCTGAATGAACCAATATTTTACGAAGCGCTTTGTTTGTATGTGATAATATGAATTGGTACTATGCAGTGGCGGCTCGTGACTTCCATGACAGAGGAGGCTGAATGATATGAGATTTATTGTGAAAAACAACTCTCTACGACTCACCTAAATCAATAGCTTTATGACATTCTGTTTACCAGTTAACCTGAACTTGATACTTGAAGAGATATGTTCCTGTGATTTGCAGTGTCTATCCAATCCGCGAGGCAAATTTTTGAAATCATTATATTCTAATCGCCCCCAACATGATGACATCGGTTGAAAATAATACGCAGTACCAAAAAAATAGCTTATTCCTTACCTCAGATCCCGTCAGCCAGATATTTTTTTTTATAATTATCAGAATTGAACGAACGATTTTATTTGTCACCTGTTACAATCAGATTTTTTAATTCCGGTGTCGGACGTTTGTTTTTCACAATCAATTTATCTTCATAAGACAAAGCACTGAATGGGTTCACCAAAAAGTATTCCACTAAATCGCAATCCTTTAAAACACTCATTTTTCAGAAATTTATAGAGCCCCTAACCATTAACCTAACATAAACATAAACAATGCACTCGGCACTCGCGCTGGATTGTCCCCAATTCGCGACGTGACACGACAAACACGTGCTATTCGGGCGTATTCGGGCATTTGAATTACGCGCGTGGGTTGCGCGTTGTGAAAGAGTCTAGCCTCCTGTAGATGTTGCCAAGTTGAATATTTTACGCGTGATTTGCAGACTTCAACGTGTGATGCGTGGGCAAGCACTGTTGCCAATTCAAAAATATTTACCTAAAAACAGGAAATAAAATCAGAATCCATGTATTTTAGTGTCCCTTTGATGAGAAAGTATAGATAATGTCAGTTTAAGGAGAATCTCTGTAATTTAAAATTTCTGATAACTCTATGTATATCCACATATATTCGAAATTATACAATTTAGCATAACTTAATTGAACGTTCTGATTGGTTTAAAATCATATGAAGAAAATAATCAGTATTAAATATCCAAGACTGGAACCTTCGGCACGATAATACACTACCACTAACCAAACCGATTTTTTATACGCATTGACACGTGTTTCGCTGTTAGCATCTTCAGAAGATGAAAACTGGTTTTAACAGTTTTAATCTTCTCCTCGTCACACGTTTCGCGGCCATGTCTGATCGTTTGAATTTCGCTCGGTCATTTTGGCGTTTTCAATAATTTTCGATAGGATGAATTCGTGGTAAAAAATCTCAAAAAATTGTTTTTATGAATTCCAGAGCCATTTATTTGAATAAGTGAATATTTCTTCAAATTTTGCGGAGCTGAAATCACCATTATTTCTAAAAATCATCCATATAATCCGGAAATTTGAAGTCGAAATATTCGAAGAATTTGAAATATTTCTCCGTCAAGTAATCAAACAGCTTTTTGATAAATGCGAAACGTAATAACGTCGTGGCCTATACATTTTATCGCGATACTAGTTTCAGTGAACTCTAGTGTTGGGCTAGGTCCAGGATTTATTCCACGACTTTATTTTGCAGCTTACTAGACAAAACGTGTTGTCACAAATTCATTATTTTATATAATATAAAGTATTATATCATTTGCAATTTATTCTTCTTTAAACTATGCCAATATTCCACTGGTTGGTGATGCTTTTGCTGATCATCCTCTATAAGTACTTAAAAAAAAGCCCGAATATTTTTGGAAACCTATATTTCATTATTCCTTCTCCAAAATCGAATCTATCGATATAGTAGCACTGAAAGTAGTGAACATAATAACATTTATAATTATTATAATATGAGATGTCTTCCTTCCTTGAAATCAGTCTTTCAAAAAGGATACCACCATCAGTGTAGAAATGTTGCGACTTGCATAAATCAATTTCAAAATTCATACGGTATATAAGAGGTTATAATATGTTCATACCGATCATTCATACTAATGAAAGTTGAATTATTACGGAAATCAATTTTGAAAAAAATATTTATTCGGATTATTATCGCACACTATTGAATAATATCTTCTAATTCAACTCTTATTTCTTGATATGAAATTGAAATTTAATTGTTACCTACTTTCATAGAATTCTCGTATGAGGCACTGGCCAGAACGAGCTCACATTTCGGCATGCTAAAACCGGAATGCTTCTACATAGGACTCGTCCCATGTAAGGTCTTGTTTGGTAGTGCGCTACAGTTCGGCATGCTAAAACCGACTGTACTTATACGAGGAATTGTACGAAAAAAGGAAAGAGAAAGGATTCTTGTATGAGGCACTGGCCAAAACAAGCTCACATTTCGGCATGCTAAAACCGAAATGCTTCTACATAGGACTCGTCCCATGTAAGGTCTTGTTTGGTAGTGCGCTACAGTTCGGCATGCTAAAACCGTTTGTACTCATACAGGAATGAATTTGGAAACTAAGTTTGATTCAAAATTTTATTTTTCTATTATTATTTTTCTTTTTCTTTTATTATTTCTAGAAATGACTGGACAGGCTCATTGTCTTGAAAAAGAGGCTTCGATCTTTTTCCCCATTGTTAGATATAATTTGCTCAAGCTGTCGATCTGTCGAATGTCAAAATGCCGTAGCCATGCGCATTAAGGCGGGTGGCACTCTCTCTAATTTAATGCACCTTGTCTGTCTCATTATCTGTAAGGATTACATCCTAATGAAGCTTTATGGTGCCTACCTCGATATAATCATTGATATTACTTACCAACCTTTCAAGTTAATATTTTTTTCAGGGCAAAAACAAGAAAATTAAAAAATCGAAAATGTTCAAGGTGGACGCTCGTATTTTAGGCTTTAATGTGACTTCTGCCCCTGACCGAATCAACGTGGGTGATAGAGATTACGGTGATAATTCTTAGAAGTATGTAATAACAGATTGTTAATAATTGTACCTAATTATATTATACATATTATATGATTTTTAAGACTTTTCTAGTTTATTTTGCTTATTTATGTATAATACGTTTTTTGTTTTACGAGTTTAATGTTTAAATATTAGTTTTACATAAAAAATATCCCCCTCGTTTTTTTTTGTTTCAAACCCTTACCTTGCTCCAATATTTTCATTTAAAATGTTTTCAATAGACAGTTCAATATGAAACTCGAAGATGCCATAGAAATCATCAATTAATGCATCAAAACAAATCCATTTAGGTACTATAGGGTCAAGTAATAACACAAGTATAATTGGTTTGGAAATTAACTCATTTTATGAACATGAACTGAAAATGAAATGATTGTGACTTGAATTACAATATGCTGCTATTATCATTGTTATAAAAATAATAAAATCAATTTCCATTACGCCATTTTCTGCCACCTACACACCTTGCTCAAATATATTCAAAAAGAAATAATTTCATTAGACTTCAATATAAAAACTTGAAGATGCCAAATAAAATCAAAATTAAGTGTCTAGTAGCACTAATATTATCAATTTGGAAATCAACTTGTTTTTTATACACATCAATTTGAAATTAAGGTGATTACGATTTAAAATACTATATGCTGCAAACACTTCTTGAAAATTGAATTTACATATCACTCAAATAACAAGTTTGTTGAACACAGAAAACAATGAAAAATTAATATCAGTTGCGCCAGTTACCTCTACCCATACCTCTGCCTCTTGTTCCTCGCCATCCCCTTCCTCTACCCCTGCCACGATCTGTAAGTAGAAACAATAATGAAAACATCTCAACAATTTTATTCGATGAAGGTTCATCCTTTGATCCTATATAGGGTGTCCTGAAATTAGCCTGCCAAATTTCACCAGCGGCTTCTACGACCAAAAATAGGAAGAAAAGTTTCAATGAACATTAGTCGAGAAATGTATACTAAGGGATCTATGGTCCCCTGTATGGGCATGGGAAGTATAGTTTTTGTACTGAATTGCATCATTTTATCACATGGCGTCTCGGAAATATTCAAGAAATATCATCTTCAGAAGCCCCTTTTCAAGTGACCGTAGCTCTCTCAGGAGACGTTTTTCGACTCGTGTTCTTTAGAATTTATCTTCCTATTTTTTGTCGTCGGAAGTCGCCGGTGAAGTTTGACATGCTAATTTCGGCACACCCTGTATACCATCGGTTTTCAACCTGTGGTACATATAACACTGGTGGTACATATTATTTGTGGTGGTAGACAAAAACTGGGTTAATTGCGAAAAAACAAGAAAAACTCATTGATTTGTCATGTGATGGTGAACTAGAGTTGTGGACTGATGATGAATTAATGGCATTCAATTATTCTACTGTGTCCTTAGGAAACTAAATTGATTTTTGCAACACTTCTCGCGCTTTTTTGTTTAAAAAATGAGTCCTATGCGTTGTTCAAAATTGTTGAATTTCAGAGCTCATTTCAAACGTACCTTCATGGCCGCCATTTGGCAATACGTCGAATTTTTTTTTCATGTTCTGGTTCCCACGAAAAGGGATATCCTGTAATGTTCAGAGAACATCGTGAGAACCAAGGGAAATAAGGTAGGAATTGGTGTTCTTCTTGCATTTCTGGAGGTTATATGCCTCGGGGAACACCTCCCTTGACAATGTGTTCCAGAGCCTCGCTGTTCGTTGGATGAACGATTCTATGGAAAGAGATGTTCTGCAGGTCTCCAAAGTGACCACGAAGGGGTGCGAAGCCTCAACTCGACGGCTTAATCTCGCGGGGACTGCCAAGGGAGGAACAATTGTTGATATTTCAGAAAAGCATCGTCCATGAAAATATCTATAAAATAGAGCCAGATCGCCAACTTTTCTACGGTGTTGCAGAGAAGTGAGTGAGTTTGTGAGCGAGGCATCACCCACGAGACGAATTGCCCTTTTTTGGACAGAATCCAACAGTTTCATGATATGTTTGGGTGCTGTACTCCAAATATGGAAACAGTATTCCAGGACTGGTCGGATCTGTGCCATACATATCTCACGTGATCTTCCCAAGAAAGGTTATTGCTGGTAGTAATACCAAGCATCGAAATGGATGTCTTCAAAGGTATGGTTAGTCCTGACATGCTTATGTTAGGCACAGTGCGATCGGCTTTTCTAGAGAAAAGGTATGCTTGTGTTTTGCTTGCATTGAAATCTACCAAGTTATTGGATCCCCATTGGAGAATTGTTGTCAAGTCCATAATAAAATAAATGATAACGTCAGTTTTTATGCCGTTTCGTCATTGGTCAAATAATCTTCCATTTCCACTCATGAAGCAAGGTTGTCAAGTCACAAATTATAATCAATTTATCAAAAAGATAAGAGTCCTACAATTTTGTCGTTGAATGAAACACGACATAAAACATAATATAAGGAAGCCATCATATAACAGTTCATTCTTTACATTTCCATGCAACCATCATGTCTGAATATCTCTTATACCGCATTACAAAATATCATGTTGATGTTGAAAACTTGGCAACAATGTGCTGAATGCTGAGAACTGACAAGGCACCGCCCACAATTAGTGATACCGTGTTGCTACGTTTAGTCCTGTGAATTAATATAATACACAAATGTATTATAAGCAATAAGCAACAACAGATCAGGTAATATTTTGAGACAATTGATTGTTTATGTCTTATTAGGAATAAAACCAATTCATAATTGAGAATTTATGAATTATTAAATAATTAAAATTTCTGAATTTCCAATATTATTTCAACCTTGGCATCAGTGCTATGGTTTGTCCCTACTTACAAAATCGTTTTTACTCGCGGTACATTTTTAGCCGTATTTCGACGTTGACGAAACTATGTGCTGACTAGGCTTGTCGAGTTCGTGTCACTGGTATTGCTAGTGATGAAATTACAACGGAGATTTCTGAATAAAATTTCCCGTGGAAGTATCTATACAAAAGTGAAAGGTCTCGCTTTTTCTACGGTGTTCCATTAAAGTCAAAAAATTAGTGGGTGTAGCATCACCAACTAGAAGGCTGGCCCTTCTCTAGATGGAATCTTAGAGCATCAGCGTATGTTTGGGTGCTGTGGAAACAGTATTTTAGAATATGCCGTATATGTGCTTTGTAGATCATGAGAAGCTGCCTTTGTGATAGATTGACATGATTATCCCATGAAAGAGAATTGCTGCTAGGAATACCGAGCATAAATATATTAGATTTGCCTTGAATTGTGGTTGTTATATCAGGCATACAAAGTTCCGCTTTTCAAGAGCAAATGCAGGCTTGAGTTTTGGTGGCATTGAAATCAACTAGGTTGTGTGTTCCCCAGGCTGTAATTTTAGCAAGATCTTCATTGACAGCAATAACTTGCCTTCACAGTGAGTTCTTAGTTTCCTGGGAAGAAATGGGAAATCTGGAAAAGAATGCAGTATGGAGAGTACTATCATATGTCAATACTCCGTCCATCACCACGTGAAGCGATCTGCCTGAAAGAATACTCGATAAATGATGGCATAGCTGAGGTGGTAAGCTGTAAGTTTGTGAAGGAGTCCTTGATGCCAAACACAGTCGATTGCCTTCTATAAGTCTAACGACACAGCATGCCATATATGGTGACATAGGCAAGTAGATCTTGAGTTGATCTTCGGTGGCGAAAGCCATATTGTCTACCATTGATGATACCTGAGCTTTCAGATAGTTTTCTCCATTCATCACTTTGAAGATGACTGATAACAGGGCAATAGATCTGTAGTTGTGGTGCAGGTTTTTGTTTCATTTTTTGGGGACTGGTTGGCTATTTTCCAGTAAGATAAAAAAATACTTCACTTGTACGAGATGGTAAATAACTTGCAGACAATCGTTGTTAATTCTGGTGCACGTTTTTGAAAGATAATGGGTGGAATTCTATCAAGACCGTTATCCTTATTCGTTGAGACCAAGTAGAATGCGTCTGATAGTGCGATGACGAAAGACGATTCCGGGCATTCGACTTTCAACGGGTGGAATATCTGGCGACCCTTTTTCTTGGAAACCTAAAGAGTTTGCTGTGAACATCTCTGCAAAAATGTTTGCTTCCTCTTGCGATGTTGTTGCTAATATGCCGACGGCTTTGGAGAGTGGTGGAATTGAACTATTGGAGACATTACTGGAAAATGTTGAGAACCGTTGCTATATGAATCACCAGCCCAAAATTGAATGAAAAAAATTCAAATATCACTATTCCACTCAAATCGCCATCTTAATTTTCTCATATGTAATACCACAACTGATACTAATTTGGAAATATTCAGCGATTGTTACGATAGATTGTTGCCTAATGATTTCGCAAATTACATAGTTCATCCAAACTATCGAGCCGTAGGCAGTTCTGGGACAAATATTTCTAGAAAAAACAGTTACAGGCATTTCATTCCATGATTGAATAAGACAATAAATGATGATTCAAAACTCCGTGCCGTATATTATGATTCTGTATTGGAAGAGCAAGTTCGATAATTTTTTAACAAAAGTCGTCCTGTAACACAGTGAAAATTGAATATTCTGATTGGTTCAAGAAATTTGAATATCTCACCCTATACAAAAGCATAATCGATATATTATTATGTGAGCATTTGCGTCGATTTTGTATTTTATTATTACTATTATTATTATTGTTAGGTATGTGATCATCGTTATCGTTCGGTGATTCATACATTTCTGGTAGATGATTAAGATTGAGGTATTAGTCAGTCTACGTTTATCCTTGATAGAATAAAGTGTTTGTTCTCGCTGTTCATTGTAGAAGTGCCTATTTCATTTACGTACACCCGAACACTGTTCCTACAACACCGTTTCTTACATATAACTCACTTCGTTTATCACTGATAATTTTTCTGAAAATTCTTACGTCAGTTATAACAACCAATATCGACGGCACGGATCTCTTTATGTACTTCATTTATTGTGTTATTCGATCACAACGATCGATAACAATGTAATTTTCGAAACTAGTATGCAACAAGTTGTCGCAACAAACGCCGAATATTTCCGCCAAATTACTATCAATTGTAGTATCATCTGACGAATTACCTGCAACAAGTTAGTGTGACTCACATGTGAAGTGACTCAATTAGATAGAGTAATAAATAATAAATAAATAGGAAAAGCTCAGTCATATCCACACAATGGTAGATTTCGGTAGAAAAACCACTACATTCCTGGCTAATGCCACGCAGAACATTGAATGAAATCCTCCCGAAATCTATGCATCGACTCGTATAAACGAATACTTATACAAGTGTTTCTTTTCTGAATGCCTATTGATTTTGATAAAGCCAGGCATTCTCATACGTAAGAATAATCACAAACTCATAAACACCTCCGAAGTTCTCCACAAGGAATCGCGAATATCGACTCCCTGATTATAAATATAATGTTACTCCCAAAGATCCCCTATGAACTAGAAAAGACTAGATATATAACAAACTCCCAGAATATCCCAAATCTCTAGGCGAATTAAAATTCAAAAAATAATTGACATCACTTATACGTAATGATTCCTTCTATGACTTGAATGCATTTTTTTTGCATGTTCTTCCTTCCACTTGTCTTGCTATTATCTCCAACTAGGAATCATTCATTTTCTTTAAATTACATAATGCTATAAAACATGTTTATTTACAACCATATGATTATGTAATGTTGGCATGAGTAACGTCATTGAAGGTTGGGAAGTGTCACATTACACACCTCTACTTCCTGCCCTCACTTCCCGCCCACACTACTTCCCGCCCTCAGTTATG